TTTTGCCAAACTCTCAACAAACCAATCCTTATTATATGATTTCTGAAGGTTTTATCAACTTTTTTCTGCATAAAAAGATAAGCATGCCACCCAAAGTACAAGTCCCATCCTTCAACATTCAAAATCCCTCTGTTGGACAAATTAATCCAATCAGATGGGCCTTTTTTATCCTTTTTTCATGATGGCATTATACAAGTGTATAAGCACAAAAGGAGGAAGAATTAAAATTCCAAAGGCCAAATAAAAACAACAACAGAACCAGGGAGAAATACTGGGCAGGAGAATTTGGTGACACATTCTCCCTTCCCTTTTCCCTCCTTTTCCTCCAACCATTAGCAGCTACTTACATATTTATGCCTTGCCTTTCATTTTTCATAGTATCTCCATTTCACCTGTTGTTTTTCTTAAGTCTTGGGATTCTTTTCTTCGGAGCCAGATTCCAAAATGTCTAAATTTAATGTGTTAATATAGGGAAGCAATCCCTACTTAAGTCTGGTTAATTTTTTTTTACATACAGACAAACACAACACATACAGTTTTCAACATTGCAGGAGCAAGATCCTGATTCTCCCTCAGACCACAGCCTTTAAAGCAGTGTTTCTCAACCTTGACAATTTTAAGGCATGTGGACTTCAACTCCCAGAATTCCACAGCCAGCATTGCTGGCTGTGGAATTCTGGGAGTTGAAGTCCACATGCCTTAAAATTGTCAAGGTTGAGAAACACTGCTTTAAAGGATAGGCCGAGCTATAAGAAACAGAGCCAAACGCTGCAAGGCCTCTCACTAGGAGCGATTTGAAGCGAGGTAATGTTATCTTATAGTCCAGGGTTCTTCAAACTTGGCCCTTTTATGACTTGTGGACTTCAACTCCCAGAATTCCTCAGCCAGGCACACTGGCTGAGGAATTCTGGGAGTTGAAGTCCACAAGTCATAAAAGGGCCCAGTTTGAAGACTCCTTGTTATAGTCCCTCCTTCCAAAGCTTTTTTTCTTCCGAAATATTTAAGGATTCAGCTGAGCTGGAAGAGAGAAGGTTACTTAGGTCTTAGCTGGTTTGTCACAGCCTTATTGATTTAAAAGCAACCATGGGAACACTTTAGTCTCATGATCAAATCTAATTAGAATGCTAAGACTATATGTCTATGGGCCTAATGACAGTATGTGAAATGAGGCCTATGTGGCCAGTAGCATTGTGTCAATTAAATGAGGATTACACTGAAATATGCTTGCAGCATTTTAAAATTAAAATTGATACCACATTGTGTGTAATCCTGTTTTATCTATAGTAGCATGAGAGGTTTGAAATTATAAAACTAATTTGTTAATGTGCTTGCTGTAGCGTTCACCGATTTACCACATGAAATGTTCAATGGGTTGGGCGAGTTTTTAAATTTCAGGTAGTCCTTGTTTAGCAACTACCACTGGCTAACTCAGTCTCAAGCAAATCAGTCATTAAGTGAAATTGCAACTGTGCTTATGATTTTACTTCAGCTTTCCTTTGCTTTTTAGACCTGCAAAAGTCATAAATATGATTGGTTGTAAAGTTACTTTTTTATCACAATCCTAACTGTAAACAGTGGCTAAACAAGACAGTTGCTAAACAATAATTACCAGTATTACTGCTACTAACAGCCAATATGTAAAGAGGCTTTAGAACTAGGAGTAAGACTTAATTAATCCTTCTAACAACGCAATCCTATCTTGGCAAAAATCTTTCCAAGGCAGTTTTGGGATTTTCTGTTTTTTTTTGAAAAGCATGCAATTCTGAATTGTGGGATTCAGCAAGCAGCTTTTTCAAGGAATTGGGGAAACAAAAAATTCAACTGCCTTTTCTAATTGAGGAACCTTTTTAATTCATTGAAAGCTATTTCAAAATGCTTCCTCACGTCATGCACAGAATTATGTAAGTGATGTGGTTATTACTGGCCTGTGGTTTGACTCCTAGGCTGTGGTTTATCTTTTATAATATATTATGTTACAGAATTGCTTTTAAATGTTGTCAACTGCCCAGAGCCACTCTTGTGAGGTGGGTAATTATAGAAACCAACCAAACCAAATAAACACATAAAACTAAAAAGAGCTTTCACAAACTAGATAGGTAATATGAAAGAGGCCTCTCTTTCTCTTGCAGATATTTCTGCCTTAGGCAGACTAGTGTTCATTAGGTTGAGAAAATAATGATCTTTTGTATACTCTAGGTCAGGGGTATCAAACTGCCGGCCCGCGGGCCGGACGCGTCATCCCAAAACTGTGCCCACCCCATTGCCGGCAATGGAGAAAAAACTCCGATACGTCGTGCGACGTCAAGTGACGTCGCAAGTTTGACATGCCTGCTCTAGGTCTAGGGCAGTGGCTTTTAAAGGGGGCAATATGGGCCTATCTTGGGGGTAATGGAGCAGTTTATAATTGCTTGTTTGTGATTTGAGGAATCCGTTTGGGATTAACACTGTCCAGATCCTTAAGTAAAACAAAGGTGTGTGAGGTATGTCTATGAAGATTCCCAGTCATCCAGGTCATGATTGTCCCAAAGGTGCTTTTTGAAAAGGCAAGTGGATTTTCTTTGTTTTTCCTTGAAGACGTTTCACTTCTCCAAAAAGCTTCTTCAGTTTTTGAAGAAGGGGAAGGACCTGAAGAAGCTTCTTGGATGAGAAGCGAAACATCTTCAAGGAGAAAAAAAAAGAAAGTTCACTTACCTCTTGAAAAAGCACCTTTCAGACAGTGTCTGCGGTATTTTTGTTCGGGTAATGACATTATTTGAGAGTGGAAAAAGGGTAATTGAATCGTATAATTTCAGAACTATTGCTCTAGGGGCGGGTGTATTTTAATTTGCGCCATGTAATGCAAAAATCACAAGATTTTGGTAGACACTGTGATAAAGTGCTTGATTTATCCTACCTAAAATGGTTGGCTGCACCAAAAAAGCAATATCAGTACTGATGAGGAATGGAAAAAAACATTAGTTTTGCTCTGTCTTCCTTTGCAGCTGGATTCAGATGTATTGCAACTGGGTGGAAAAAGAAAAAGATCATTTCCCATTGCCAGAACCTATCATCTTATCAAAAATTGTTCTCACTTGCTCAAAAATTAATTTTAAAGCAAAACATAAAATATGCTACACCTTCACTTTAATATATACATTAGTTCTGTTTTCTAACAACAGACCAGAACCCAATACAGGTAATCCTCGACTTACAACAGTTCATTTAGTGACCATTAGAAGTTACAGTATCACTGAAAAAAATGACTTATGACCATTTTTTCATACTTAACGACCGTTACATCATCCCCATGGTGACATGATCAAAATTTGGATGCTTGGCAACTGGTTCATATTTATAAACAGTTGTAGTGTCCTGGGGATTATGTGATCACCTTCTGACAAGCAAAGTCAATGGGAAAACCTGATTCACTTAACAACCATGTTACTAATTGCAGTGATTCACTTAACGACTGTGGCAACAAAGGTTGTAAAATGAGACAAAACTAATCTAACAACTGTCTTACTTAGCGACAGAAATGTTGGGCTCAATTGTAGATGTAAGTCGAGGACTACCGTATGCTGAATTTATTGGCAAGGAACTAGAAACCTTCCTTCTAAGGAAAGAATTCTAATATTCTAATACTGTGTTTGGTGCTAATGGTGCTCCAATTTGAAAAGGAAGAAGGCTGTAATTAGCATTTCTTTCTTCCATAGTTGACATATTAATTAAAACCAAAATTGTGAAACCTTTTGAAGCTCTTCAGTAAGGAGTCCAGCCCAGTGAACTTGGGGATCATTTACTAGCCTTCTTTTCTATATGTAAAAGGGGAAGAATGCAAAGTGTTTGATTGTGTTTTTTTTAAAATAGAAACTACATGTCAGACCTGCTGCCATCCTGTTGCATCAGCCTTGTTTAGCTAAATGTCAGACTGTCATAGTAATGGGGGATGAACAGTGGTGGGATTCAAATATGTGAACAACTGGTTCTCTCTGTGGATGCCGCTTCCGGAAGTCCGTTCTGGACCTGGGCAACAAAAAATTAACTACCAGTTCTGCAGAACTGGTGCAAACTGGCTGAATCCCACCACTGGGGATGAAGAGGCTTGGGCGTGGGGGGAGAGCAGATGAGAAAACGAAAGTGAAAGCCTTCGTACCATCCTATGGAGGCTGCAGCCTGTTCCAAGGTCACCTGATGGAATACAACACCTTCACATCACTCATCTGGCGACCAAAGCAATTTATTTCAAAGGAATTGATCATTCACTGATAACAGGGAGGAGGGTAGATCGCAAGGGAAACATTAACTGCTTAGTTTGGACACCAAACGCTAGATTTGGCTTGCTACTCTGTAACCACTTCACCTTACTAAAATCAGTGCTTTTTTTCTAAAAAAAAAAAGGTGCCGGAACTCACACACATCATACAACCCGCCTTCCCTACAAGGTTTCATCCAAAAAAGGTGCCGGAACTCCGTTCTGGGCGTTCTATGAGAAAAAAAGCCCTGAGTAAAGTATACTTTTAACTGCCATGGTTGTGGAAGACTTTCTTTTCTGTTGACCAAGTTGGGGCGGCTCACACTATCTAAATACACTTTCTTGGTTGCCTCCATATTTAAAGCAACATAATGGCAATGTTCCTTATAAAAATGATTTAATTGTATTCTTGGTTTTGTATGTAAAAGATCCATTAGAAATTACAAACTGTAAAAGATGCTTAATTTATGTACAGGATTTTCTGATGGCCATCTTTTCTATTTTCTTGTTTCAGACAGTTAAACTTGAAAATGTATCACAAAATAAGAAATACTATATTTTCACCTGTGAAATACCATGCAATTGACTATTCTTATGAGGTATGGTATCAAAGTTCTAAACGTCTTGGAATTTCAAAAATATAATTGGAATAGAAATAGAAGAGAAAGCACGTAATTAAAACTTATTTCTAATTTTGTTAGTAATAATTTTAATAAAATTAATAATTTCATTAGTAAAAGTAATTTTATTAGTCTGATTTTTTTTGTTTTTGATAATATATTGTATACAAAAAACTATTTATGTAATCTTGTAAAATCATATCATTTTAGGAAATCTGCCAGAGTACTGAAACTGATTTTTTTTTTCTAACTCCTGTGTATCTTACTTAAGAACACATTTTGATAGAGATTTTTTATTTAATATTTGCTTTTTCTGGGGGAGGCATACAGAAGGTGAGGAGGCATTACATTTATTTTATTTTGCTTTAGAGAAACTAGCCAGCATAACCTAATCCAAATAAAAAAATGCATTTATGCTAAATCATCCTATTTAATATATAATGAGAGCTACAATATTAAATATACTCAACTGAAAAGCAAGCCCCACTAAACATAGTTAGCCTTACTTAAAAGTAACATATAAAAGTTATAAAATACCCCAGTGGGCCTTAAATTTTAGCTTTACCAATCTATGAAAATTAGGAGCTGGGTGTGAATTTCTGCATTTGATCAAGTTGGTTTAAGAGCAACTTGGAAAAGCTTTACTCAGGATCATGTGATCTATTTTCCTTCTGCAGAAACTGACAAAACAGAGAATTACCTTTCAGTTGTTATCAATTCACATCCCTTTTAGTTTATATCAGGATATACATTACTATCATGATGGAAAATTGGCTGATAATAAATATAGAACACCCTGGACAAGAGGTATGTTATATCTAACTTTCACTTTTAATTTATATATTTTAAATGTAATAGAGAAAGTCAGTATAAGCTTGACCAAGTTCCCCCTATATTATTAACTTGTGGAAGAAATATATTTTCTCAGTAGTCTATAACAGCCAGTAACTCTCACATAATCAAAATAATTGTTCAGGATACAATATAGCTATCCTTATTTATATAAAGTTCTAGATGGGACCCACTCTGCTGTTTTTTAAAAGAGCCATCCACCTACACCTTTGATGAGGGAGAATGAGACCCCTTGCTTTGTTTCCATCTGGTCTGCCATTGCCATCTTGCCCTCTATTATCTTGATTTTTCTCCTTTTATTGCTTTTATAGGTATTGTAATTTCTTTTCATTGCTGTGATCTTCCCAGATCAGGCAGCATACAAGTTATTGTATCATATCACATTATATCATATCACATAATCATATTATTTGTTGGTATGTTATAAATATGTTACATATGAATTTCCTAACTAACTGAGCTAACTTTGGGACATAGGATTCTATCTCTAGCCATTCTATTTATTCCACAGGATAGACACTATTCATCTATTATGTCTTCTAGCATCATCCATTATTGAGGCAATGTCCACATTATTGTTATTTTGACACTACAATGGTTGGATGGCTCTAGAAAATGTTGCAAGTCACTAGTGGGGTTTCTGCCTCAAAAAAGTTTTTTAAAAATATTTATAGTCTGAAATTCCATGAGCATGCAGTTATTTTATGCATAAATTATGTACTACAAATTGATTCCTGAATATGAAATTTTTTAAGAGACAGTGGCTAAGACACTGAATTATGCTGTTATTTTAGAACAAAAAATTGTGTAAATTAAAACATCAGAGATAGCATATGTGCCAGGAAAAAAAAATATGTAGAAAGATGTCTGTAAATTTATATTTATACTAGCTGTACCCGGCCACGCGTTGCTGTGACTCAGTCTGGTAAAAGCGTGTGTTGCTTTTACGTCCAACAGATGGCGCTGTTTTTCAAAAAAAAGCATGTTTTTACCTGTCACAGGTGTGACATCTATATAATAGTAGGTATATAAAAACACGCGCGTATTCGAATGCAGCGTTGTGTCAAAATTTCAAAGCAATCGGTGAAGAACTTTCGGAGATTTAAGATTTTGAACAAACGAACATTTACATTTTTATTTATATAGATAGATAATAATACACTATGACTTGCTGCTTCTTGAAGTGATTAGCTTGGCTGGCCTTATTTCACAGATGGGTGGACTAAGGGATTGGGGCTGCCAATGAATAAGCTGCTGTTTTTTATTTATTTTTTTCTCTCTAATTTTTTGGGTTTTCCTTACTTGCTTTCCCTAAACTTCTGTAGAATCTGATCCAGTCAACCAATTATAATGAAATACTGCTTTCAGACATGCATTTTGATATGCATTCAGAATGGTTCATTATAATAATTTTGGGAGAAAAGCAAACACCATTCTGTAGCTATCAGTCTTTCATTTTTTTAATCAGTCATTTCTTTAGTGGGACAATAAAGAGAAATACAGTTTCATATACTCTGCTTTCATTGATTTAAGAGCTGTATTTCATTGACTACAGTACTAATAGTTATAGTCCTTCCTACCTGTTCACTTGCAACTGCACAAAATGTGCAGGTTATTTAAAAATAGGTTACGTTTCCAGAATGTCAAAATATTATAATGTCTTCATTTTGAGATTCGCTCCACACCATGTGACTAGAAGAACGTTATTTCTAAGTTCATAGAATCTCTGTTAATACTGTGAACATTACTCAAACTAGCTATATTTCTCTATCTGGAGGATTCCATAGACTATCCTCATTATAATGTTTATTTCATCTTTTAGGATTCCTCCTTGAAAGATAAATAAAGAAATAAATGGTTACCGTATTTTTTTTCTGTTTTCTTTTTTTGCTCTAGCTTCAGCTGATTCCACTGTGATGAACATTTCAGTACTTGATATTTGGAAAAAGTATCTCTTCACTGAAGATCTCTTAGAGACGTGAGTCTTCTTTAAAGTTGGAAGCAACACTCAGTGTTGGCTTCCAAGTTAATTTACACAGGGATTTTCCAAATGAAAGTGCCAGCTGATAATGGGACAAAGGTTACTTGAGGATAGGGAAATGCTGTTTCAAGATGGCAAATACTAGTTCAGAAACAGCAACAGTATTGCTGCCTTGTGTTTGAAGGGGAAATTCATGTCCCTATTGGAGAGGATCCTTGACTTGTTCTATCTTTTGGTATCTGGTTGTCAAGTCAGCTGGTGTAGTTTTAGAAGGTCTTAATTGCAGAATTACTACCATGCCAAAATTAAGGATTAGGAATGCAGCAAGACTTGTTGCCTTGGTAAATGGGAGGATTTTTAGTGTATTAACCGTCCCTTATACCAGGGCTTTTCAACCAGTGGTACGGGTACCACCTGTGGTACATTGGCACCTGGCAGGTGGTACGTGACCATCCTAGAAAAGTGGTAGCGGGGGAGGGGAATGAACTGAACCGTTGGCAGCACCGCACAAGCCTGAGCGAGAGATGGCTGGAGCTGCAGGGCTGTCAGGGCTTAGTGGAAGCACCAGGATCAGTGCCGCTTTCCAGCTGATCGGCGCTTCTTCAGGGCTGTCAGGGCTCAGTGGAAGTGCCAGGATCAGCGCCAGGCTCCAGCTGGAGCTCAGCGCTGATCCTGATGCTTCTGCTGAGCCCTGAAGAAGCACCAATCACCTGGAAAGCAGCACTGATCCTGGCGCTTCTGCTGAGCCCAGAAGAAGCGCCGATCAGCTGGAATGTTACATTCAGATGCTTAGCAACTGATTCATATCTATGACGGTCACAGTGTTCCAGAGTCATGTGAAGTGACCAAAACCTGCTGCAACCACCCAGCAGACGGGGGGAATAAAAACCAAACACCCCCCCCACCCCACCCCCGCTGCCAATCCTCAACAGAAATGCTCACAATGAAAACCTTGGACAGGAGGAAGAGTGCCACCGGGTGCTGTCTTGCTCAGCTATGGCTTGGGGGGGCACTTTTTTCAGTGCCATTGTAACTGCGAACAGTCAGTAAGCAAACTGTTGTAAGTCGAGGACTACCAGTACTTTATCACTTTTTTCCTCTTTTTTTTTGGTCAGAAAGTTTTTGACACCTTGCTAGGCGACTGGTGGTACTTGGATGTTGCCATATCCTAAAAGTGGTACAATGGGTGAAAAGGTTGAAAAGCCCTGCCTTATACAGCTGATTAAACTATATGCTAGTTGTATAGCTGTGGTGGAATCTGGACCTGAAGTGAAAGGAAGAGTGAAAATACTGGCTTGAATTGCTGATGGGGAGGAAGCAGCGGAAAGCAGATCCTTCCTAAATGGTGCCGTGCTTATCTAGCAGTTCCTGTAGTGAGTGTATTATTATTCTGGTGAGCTTCCTGTCAGTAGGCAAGTAGTGATGAACATATTCTGATCAGCTCCCTGTGTCATCCTAGTTCCTTGTGCTTGACAATAACCTTGTTCAAAGGACGCAATTTAAAGATTTATATCTCAAAATAAAATAAAAAATGGAGAAGACTGTCATAGCATTTAGGACCTCTAGCTATTTCTGTGTAGGCAAATGAAAGGCAAAACAAGATGACCTTATTCATTTACAGATAATTACAAATTGTTACTAGAAGAAAGACTATTGAGCATAGAATCTGAATCAAGCTATTTAAATTAATAATTTTCTAACATTGATTTGTCATTAATGAAAAAACTCTTCGCTCTTCAAGGTTAATACATTATAGTAAAAAGTAATTTTTAAACAGTCAGTTAAGCTGAAGTCTTTACAAATGGACAACAGATAAGCTAAAATAATTAATCCATTGATACTTTTTATGTTTTTGGTCCTCTTGTTTTCCAGAGATTATATTGATTTTCTGCTGACATTCCTGTTATTAAGCCAAAAGATTGATTGGAGAGTCAAAAAATTTTAGTTTCAGACATACAGTACTAGAAAATTCAATAGAAATTGAAATTTAAAAGAAAAAGGAATGGTTTTTAAATCTGATCTTTGTTAAATAAAATGTATAGGCAAAAAAATATATAAAGCCATTAGTAACTTTTATCCCATTCAGTGATTATTAGAGAGGCATTTTCCTATTACGTTGCATTTCCCATCACGAACTTCAAAGAGCTATATACTATAATCTAGTAATTATTATGCATCAAGTAATCTAATCTTCCAAAATTTGGAGTGGGCAGAAATCCAGTAGGGCCTGCTTTAACCATCAGAATATGTCTGGATTCAAATCACTACGCTGCTCAACCACGACATACCCAGATTGAGCTGCTTCAATCCTTTACCTCAGACCAGGTTAGTTTTCCTCCAGTTGGTTTCAATGGAAGAGGTAATTTAACAGATTTTTTTTTTCTCCTAGCATTTTCCCACAAGTGTGGGGTACAATTTGCAACAGGAATTGTCTGACCAGCTTGTTGCCTGGGCCTAACATTGTGAGCTGAAAGAGAGTGGCTGGCCCAGTCATCCAGCCATCTTTTATGCCCAACATAAATCTAGAACTCACAGTGTCCTGGTTTTTAGCCTGGTACCTTAAACTACTTCCATGTGCTGGACATGTTCAGGCAGAGGTTGATATCCCCCTTCAGGGCTGCTTTAATTTAAACTCCTATCCTGAGTCTAAATCCTGTATGATTTAAATGACCTTTTCCAAATTTGTAACTTTGAGGAGGTTTCCACAGGGCACTAATTTCCTAAAGCAGTTTGAAGCCGGCCTGCTCTTGTTTCCACTCCTGCCAATCTTGTTACCTTCAGAACATATTGGGAACCCAATGAGCCAAATGATGCTGTTGTACACGCTCCCAGGTTCAGCTTATAGTCATTCGATCATATGCAGATCTCCCCTTGCTCTCTGCCTGGGTGTCCCAGGTAGATGTGCCTACAGCAGTGGTTCTCAACCTTTTTAATGCTGCGACCCCCAACTGGTTGTAAGTCGAGGACTAAACCGGTCGTAAGTCGAGGACTAAACCAGTCGTAAGTCAAGGACTATCTGAGGCACTGCTGTCACCAAACCAGACAGTGATGCAGTTTGTTAAAATGCTTTCAATCGTGCCTCTGTAAAAAGTGGCCAGGACAGAAGGAGAAGATGTGCCCTCCCATAGAATAATTCAACCAGTCGTAAGTCAAGGACTTTCCCTGCCCGGGAGCGCCGCGCATGCGTGGTTCCGCCCCCTGCGCCGGCTGAGGCGTAGCTGGCAAGCGGCAGAGACGGAGCAGGCCGACCACCAGCTGGCCCAGCCCAAGGGAGGTAAGGCACCCGCCGGAAAAGAGGGAAAAAAATGGCGGACAGCCTTGCTTGGCGACCCCCGTGAAATGGTCGATCGACCCCAAATGGGGTCGCGACCCATAGGTTGAGAACCGCTGGCCTACAGCGTACAAAATAGATAATGTGGGTCAACAGCCAGAAAATTATTTAGAACACACTAATTAGAAAATTAGGAAAAATAATTAGGAAATCATTGTCATCCAAACACTGAGGCATGTCGGGTTCTGATGAAATACACAAACCCCAAATAATTCACAATGATAGAAAAACTATATTTGTTAGAACGTATAATTGCTCTCTCACACACTCATGTGTTCATACCCAGTTTCTCAACTAGATTGCCAGGCTTTAGATAGAGAGACAGAAGCCACCAAGTCTGGCTCCAGGATGACTCCAAGAATGGGTGGGCTTCAGGAATTTTGTATCACCCAAATCCTTGTTTTGTTCTTTCACAAGTATGGTAGTCACAGGCAATCTCTTGCTCAGGATAGGAGTCCAAATTAAAGCACCCCTGAAGGGGGATAACAACCTCTGCCAGAACATCTTTCAAAAGTATGGTAGTTGCACTTTGTTTCTTGATTCACAACTCTAGTAGCTGTCAGTGGAATTAAGAGATACTTTCGGTATGCTCAGCCTTCTTTTCAATTTTCAGGTGGAACAAAGGATATTTTGATAAAGCTCCTGGCTTTTGCCTTCTTTGCATTTGTGTCTGCTGCATGTTTAGATTATGGTGCCTGAACTGCCAATCTGGAGAATCAATTACTACTACCCTCATAACTACATTGTCAATACATCTTGTGTAGAGTTATGAAAACTGTGTCCTTGATAGGCTATGTCACTTCATGAAGACATATCTCTGCCTCATTTGGAGATATAGGTGCATCGCTTCATTTTAATGAAGTGTCAGAGGGGATCCAATCTACCTTGATTAATAAATCCATCCTGCTATCAGCAGCTGCTGTGCACTGACAGAAGCTACTGTGACCAACTAAAGCAAAACAGCACAGCTGAATTATTATATGGGAGGGCACATCTTTCTCCTTCTGTCCTGGCCACTTTTTACAGAGGCACGATTGAAAGCATTTTAACAAACTGCATCACTGTCTGGTTTGGTGGCAGCAGTGCCTCAGATAGAAAGTCCATACAGAGAATGGTAAGGATAGCCGAGAAGATCATAGGAAGCTCGCTTCCTGGTATTCAGGATGCTGCTTATAAGTGCTATGTGCTTAAAGCTCAAAGCATTGTTAGAGACCCCACGCACCCACTTTATGGTCTGTTTCTGTTGCTCCCCTCTGGGAGGAGGTTTCAAAGTATTTCTAGCAGGACTACCCGATTCTGTAATAGCTTTGTTCCCTATGCCATCCGTCTGGTAAACTCAACAAGTTTCGTTTTTCTCGCCATGCACATGTATACATAACCCGAACTAGACTGTTGTTTCTCTGTGTCATATAACATATGTGGATATATGCACAATTCTGTATTTATTTATTTATTTTTGACATATTTATGTAATGTATATCAGAGGTGGTGACCCTTTGAGAGCTGTATGCAATGAAATTTAATTTTAATGTATGCCGATTAGTGTACATTCAAAGTGACAATAAAGTTATTATTCTATTCTATTCTATTCTATTCTATTCTATTCTATTCTATTCTATTCTATTCTATTCTATTCTATTCTATTCTATTCTATTCTAGAAATGAGGTGCCTTCAGTTTAATATCCAATGATACAAAGAATATCTATTAAAATCTGCATAGCGGTTTTCTTAGCAGGATTCTCCAGAAGTGGTTTGCCATAGCCTCCTTCCTAGAGATGAAAGAAAGTGGTTGGCACATAGTCACCCAGCTGGCTTTCTATCTAAGATAAAACTAGAACTAAGAGTCTCCCAGTTTCTAGCCTGATGTCCTAACCACTATACCAAACTGGCTCTCAGTAGTAGGATGAAAATATTTGTTTACCAATTATTAAAAGCCTGCTGAGAATTGTGAAAATGGAATGATACTATGTCATCAGCTCTGTACTTATATTCTTTTCCTAATTTCTTTCAACATGGTTATAGGCAATAGCACTGGCTGGGGTGGGGGAGAAAAGGTGACATGTTTTCCATAAAGCACATTTTTTTAAGTTACAAAATTAGAACTCTTGTATAAGCTCTTCCATAAAATTATTAGTGTTCCTCAACTGGAATAATCAAAATTTCATTAAGCCCACCTCATAAAAGGGGAAAATATTAAAAAAAACAAACAGGCTAATATTTTGCATCATTGCTATTTTGTACCTACCAAGGGAAGGTAAAAAGAGACAGATATTTGGACAATTTGAGTTAAACATTTGACCAGCCAAAAATAAATTGATTGAAATGCTGAGCGCAACCAATGTTGTGGGACCACAGAGACTGGAACTATTTTTGAATTGGCATAAAGTCTTTATATAAGTCCAGATTCTGTCTTTACTGGGATGGAACAGATGTTATTATTATGAAGTAGCTAGGTAAGTAATTAACAGTCACAGCACTTTGCAAATCTATCAGAAATAAGTAACCAGTACAGATCGTTAATATATTTCATGGACTAAAATATTTTAACTTTTCACTATTCAGGAAACCCATTTCAAATACTGCCTTCCATACTCCCAGTGAAGATTTTGAAATTATTCCAAGTTCAAATCCTTGTTCTCAGTTCAGTACAGAAGATTATATGCTTATGAAACTTAACAAGGAGAAACTAGCTGATAGAAACCGACTGCAGCTGGATTATTTTCCAGTTGCACTTAAAGAAGGTAAATTGCATTCCATATTTCATATGTCCAAGACTTCTAAACTATTGTGGCATGGCACAAAAGTACAAAATTGTACACGCCTGATACTTTTTTCTCCCCCTGAAGTAAAATTAGAGTCACATTCTACTCTTGTCATTAGAGGACACTATTATTTTGTGACTATTGTGATTATTGTTCTTGGTTGGAAATTCACAATGAGAGCCTGCTGAGGCTTTTTCTAATAGAATTAATTAAATGTACACTCAAGATATAATACTCTTAAAGTATGTAGATAATAATAATAATAATAATAATAATAATAATAATAATAATAATAATAATAATAATAATAATGATAAAGTTGGAAGGGACTTTGGAGGTCATCTAGTCCAACCCCCTGCTCAGGCAGGAAACCCTATACCATTTTGGACAAATGGCTGTCCAGTTTCTTCTTAAAAACTTCCAGTGTTGGTGCATTCACCGCTTCTGGAGGCAGGTTGTTCCACAGGTTAATTGTTCTAACTGTCAGGAAGTTTCTCCTTAGTTCTAGGTTGCTTCTCTCTTTGGTTAGTTTCCACCCATTGCTCCTTGTCCTACCTTCAGGCGCTTTGGAGAATAGCTTGACTCCCTCTTCTTTGTGGCAGCCCCTGAGATATTGGAACACTGCTATCATGTCCCCCCTCGTCCTTCTCTTCGTTAAACTAGACATACCCAATTCCAGCAACCATTCCTTATATGATCTGGGTGTGGGGAGAAACATTGTATTAATTCAAAAGCTTATACTGTTGAAGTAACATTGCTGACTCATCCTGCTTTGACCATATCTGCATGTTGACTTGAAGATGCTATCTTAATCATTCTCAAAAGACATGCCAATGTGGTACAGAGTTCCTTTCATCCTCAGACCAAGATTAGATACTTTTTTTTCCTGAGGAAAAAAATACTTTTTTTTCTGAGGTTCTGAGGAAAGAGTATGACTGAAGTAATCTTAATTCTCAGTACCCCCATGTAGCATGTTGAATGGGATGCAGGCAGCCATATGGATGAGGAATTTCCCACTAAAAAAAGGAAGGAACCTCCTTTATTAGTTTTCCACCATGCCTCATGGAGGTGAGGTTTTAGAGGCTAAAACTGAGACATAGGATGGGTGAAGGCTTCCTAATACACTAAAGCAGGATCAGAAACTCTCCACATACCTTGCAGATCAAGTTCTGAGGGTTGGCTAAATCTACCACTCTAAATTTGACTCTTCCGCCAACTCCAGTCCATATTTGGGAGAACAGTGTATGTTTTCCCTGCCAATTGCTGCACTTTAACTTGGTCTGTGCTAAACGATTCGGATCGCATTACTCATTGCCTTCATTAACAAGAAAGAATAAAGGCCAGCATGTTCATGCTGGTATATTTTGTGCTGATTGGAGGGATAGTGTGTTAAATCTACTGTCTGAGGAATTCATTGGTTTTAATAGGAATATGACTTTTGCCTAGTCTTAGTGCAATAGTACCACTGCTAGGTGTTAAGGAGAAAAAATGGTTTTGAATGATAATTTGATAATGATTAATTTATTTTTTAAAAAAACTAAAGGAAAATGGATACATGTGTCTAACAAGAAAAAAAGAGAAAAGGAAAGTCTCATGCAAAAGATTTCAGTAAATTAAAGATGTGTATGATCTTTTTGTTTTCTTGCAGCAGCAAATCATCAGACAACATTGCAAACATCTGTGAAAATTCTCTCCCAAATCTGTTTGCCATGCTGTACTGAGCACTCTATCTGAGAAAAACAAGTGTAAAGCCTCCTTGGACTCACAGAATTAGTATCATAATTCTTTCAAACAAAATAATTTTGAGGAACCGGAATATTTAATATCTGCCATGTGCTCATAAATGTTAATTAATTGTTCTTGAAAGTAAATACATTTTGATTGTAATTTTGAATCTCTGAAAATGTAGTAATTTTTAACTACAGGAATTAATAAGTTATGTAACGTGTCCAAAATACGTAAAAATGCAGCCACTATAAATAGTTCATACATACATGCAAAATGATTGATAAAGGTTTCACATTGATATTTTTCATTATTATATTATTAAGGTTTATATATTGAAGAAGAACTTGTTTTCACTAATAATTTGACACAGTCTGCTAAACGTCTACCTACTCTGCAAACACTCTTGAGTCGGCTAAGTGTTTTCCAAGTACAAGATCCCCTTTTAAATTTTAAAGGTGACAGTTTCATAGAAGAAGACATATTGAGGTATTGCGCTACTAAATGAGATGCAATAAGGGTTGTATATGATTATTATCTTAATTTTTGTTTTTGATCTTATTTCTGCACATTTTAATGGTTACTTATGGCAAAGTAGGAGATCACTTTGATAAATGTTTGTGACTTATAGTTATAATAGCTATACTGTAGTTTTACATAGTGGCTGTGCTAACATGGAACAATAAACTAAAATTATAGAGAACTATTGTAAATATGCTGCATGGTAGTGTGAGACTATTGCCATTTTTTTAATATTCATTCTATTCAGTGGCTCCACAATGCAAAAATTCAGTGGCTCAAGAATGCAACAGTGCTTATGTGTGACTCTTGAAGAAGTCATTTTCAGCCAAAGTTTCATTATCTGTCTTTTTTGGAATCCCAAGATTGGGGGGGAAATATTAACAAAATACTTATTTTTGTCTTATCCACAGTTATTAACAAGAGGAGCCAAAGAGAAAAAAAACAAACTGAAGGCACACTAATTAGTTGTCGGTTGCATTTCAGACCCTAATTTGATGCCCACCCAATACCACTAGTAGCAATGCTGATTGGGGATGATGGAAAATGCTGTTTGACATATCTAAAAGTATCAAGCAATGAAAAACTGCTATATACAAATGACCCATTCATCCCTAAGAAGCTTATTTTCAAGTTGTGATTTCAGTGGAATGTGCTAACTTTAATGGATGAATAGATAGATTCAGATTCAAAACTGCAACTAATTATCAGTGAATTTCTAGTTTATTATAGGAAGCAAAATTACAGTGTGCAACTATACATGAAGGAAAGGGGAAATACTAGATTTTTAAAATTTAAGAAGATGCAGTGCTTTTTTTCTAAAAAAAAAAAAAAAAAGGTGCAGGAACTCACACACGTCATACAACCCGCCTTGCCTACCCTACAAGGTTCCATCCAAAAAAGGTGCCGGAACTCCGTTCTGGGCATTCTATGAGAAAAAAAAGCCCTGAGAAGATGAACTAGCTTCTGAGTTGTTTACAGACAAGTGTATCTGGGATATAATTTAAAAGTTCATTAACCTATTATTCTTCAAATTCATGGAACATTTATTTAATGAAATACATGTTGCCTTAACAATTAAGATATATTTCAACATTCCTATGCCTTAGAGAACAGCTTCCACTAAAATGATTTGGACATTATACTATTCAGTTAAAGTATTACCACCTTCATCTTTCACTTTTTGGTGTTAATATATGGAAAATGTTTTCTAAATTATTAAAATGAAATCATCTTCTAATCCCCTTTGAGGAAGATAGATGGCTATATAACTTTGATAAATAAAAAATATTCAATAACATCATGCTGACATGCTCCACATTTATTTTTCAACATGTCTTCACTTATATATAACTGAGACTGCATATATTTAATACAAAGAGTATTCTTCTGATTAACTCAGATTGTTTTCTTATCCTGTTACTGCTGAATCTAAAAGTAGCCTCAAAATATTTCTGATATATATTGCTGGTTTGTGGTAGTCAAATATTTAAGATGCCTAATAATGAATGTTAGGATTTTTAACATAGTGTACCTTACATTTTTGGAAGTAAATACTTCTAAAAACTTGTTTTGTTCTTTCCTCATTCTTCATGTTTTGCTTACTTCGTATGAAATAAACTTATTGTATTTCCCCTGAAAAGAAATATTTAATCAATTACGAATTTTGAAAAATTCCTCCTTCCTCGAAACCAGCAGTCTTAAGCATAGTTGGATGGTGTATATAGTATTAATCATGATTTTCCAACCTGCAAGTAGTTAAAACTCATTCTCCAGATTAGAACAGATTTTAGTGTTTTACAAATTGAAAACATGCCTCTATATTACTATATTATTGCTGAAGCAAATAATGCCTAATACAAAGTGTATGCTTGTGTTTTCATTTTAAAAGGGAATGCTTGACTTTCAGAAGGAGTGTGACACCTCAAAAAAAAGGAATGGAATTAAGTGAAGATTTCTGCAAAGTTTCTTTAAAGGATGAAGAGGTATAAGAATGATTCAATATATTATGCAGAGCATATCAAATCACTTTGCAGTTCTATTACAAATTAAATTTTGCACAGAAATGTAAAAGAAAATACTGGCAGACTATGACCACAGAAAAACAACATTCTCACAAAGTGTTCTTTAATCAAGTTTATTTTAAAAAGTATTGGATTACAGACATCTCAAAAACTGGATACTTTTATTTAGCACCCGGTTATTTCAAAGCTTGCTAGGGTGGTACTTTTAAATTCTTATACTAGCAATAGTTGATCAACATGGAAAATAGCTACCTATTTTCCTGATATGGAGTGCTGTGCAAATGTCCTGACCTATTAATATTTAATGAACTGTTATCAATAGTTTCCAAAGCTATTGTTCTTCTGTATTCAATGGAATATTTCTACTTCAGTAAAGATCTCAGTATAGTGTAGTTCATAAAGAGTTTTCTAAAAGTCTGCAAGTTTTTAACATATATTAAAATGTTTTTGGAGGGGGAAGCATACAGCTGCTGACAATATTATTTAAATAATTTATTATTTTCTTAAATAAGAAAATATTTTTTATTTAGTTCGGAACATTTAACCCACTTAAATCCTAGGTGATTTATATGGTATATTAATATCTTTAAAAATTAATCAATCGACCCCATCGTTAACAAAGATGTTAAAAAAATGTCCCTGCACCACAGACAATTTTAGATTCTTAAGAGCAAGTTGGGAAAATACCGTTTTTAGCACTTTCCAAAATTTTAATAAATTGATGGCCAATTTGATATCAGTAGGTAAATTTTTCCAGAAAGCGAAATTGCCACTGAGAGATCCTGCTTCTTTCAGAAGAAATTATAGGAAAAAAAACCCAGCAGCCTTTTCAGAATCACTTAAAATATTAGTTGATCAATGCTTTTTAATGTACTCCACAATAAGAAACAAACTTAAGACATTAAAACAGCCAGTATCAGGTCTCCGTGTAATGCTTGACATCACATATTCAATGATAAAAGTAAAATCTGTGCCCTTGCACAAGTAGTATGAAATATTGAACAGAAATTAGGTGATTATGTTTAAACAATGAAGACAGAAAAACAATGCTCTGGAGGCTGATTTGGAGCATTTCTTCTATGTGGAAGAAATTGTTAACCATAATATGAGCAGGCCACTACAATGCAGGAGCATGAGAGGCCTGGGCGAAAAATTATTAGTTGACAATAGATAAGCGCACTGATATCATATCAGTATATATCTCAGTTGTGCCTGGAGGTAAAGTTTGGCCATTTGAGAAAACTGTGGGGCTCTGGATAGGATGAGAAAGATGAGAAAGATCTGGCACAAGAGTTTTCTTGTGTCTTCCACAATGGGGTATTTCCACAAGCTACCAAGAGCTGAGCTGTTAAGAAAGCAGATAGAATACAAAAACTTTGTATCTACAAGCTACTGTGTCAGATACTGTTCTTGTTGTCTTTTTTCCTAGATTCCTTTATTTCTTGTTAATTTTCAATTTTGTGAAGCAACAAACTCAAAGCTGGATATGGAGATTCTCACATGTTTAGCCCTAAAATCTTCATTACAAATAACTCCAGAAATTTTAGAAGATGAAAATGAATGTGTCAGAATAACTAATGAAAGTAAGAGTTACAAAGTGTTATATTTTGGCACCAATTCTCATATTTCACATTGCCCATTTTCGTTTTATTTCTGTTCCTTTTACTAATGCAATTAAACATTATGCATATTCTCTAGGGAAAGGACATTACATTATTAAGTTTTGTGTTAACATCTTTTCCAGAACTTAACATGACAATTATACCGGAGATGATAAAGAGTTCAAAACATTGCTTTACTCAAGAGGTTTATTCGAGTCAGGACAAAGATCTACCAGAATTCAACAATCCAAGTAGGTACATCTGTACTAGGGTTACTGGACATCTAGCAAAAGGAGGACATATTCTCCTTTTTTGTCCTTGTGTTCTTCATCCAGAAGGCATAGCCTTAAAGTCTTGATCAGCGGTTCTCAACCTATGGGTCGGGACCCCATTTGGGGTCGATCGACCATTTCACGGGGGTCGCCAAGCAAGGCTGTCCTCCATTTTTTTCCCCTTTTCCGGCGGGTGCCTTATCTCCCTTGAGCTGGGCCAGCTGGTGGTCGGCCTGCTCCGTCTCTGCCGCTTGCCAGCTACGCCTCGGCCGGCGCAGGGGGCGGAACCACGCATGCGCGGTGCTCCTGGGCCGGGAAAGTCCTCGACTTACGACCAGTTGGGTAGTCCTCGACTTACGACCGGTTTAGTCCTCGACTTACGACCGGTTTAGTCCTCGACTTACGACCGGTTGGGGGTCGCGGCATTAAAAAGGTTGAGAACCACTGGTCTTGATTATCTCTTCCTGAGCAGCTTTTATCTGCAGAACAGCACTTTTCTAATAACTGCTACTGTAATCACAAGTTAACAAGCTCACTCTGTGACCTTAGTTATTTATGGGTCTACTCTATGACAATTTACCGCGGCCAACTTGCTGTGGGCCAACTCGCCATAGGACAACTCGTTGCGGGACAAAAGTTACACTGATATCAAGGAAATGATGGAAAAGAATCATTCAAGAAAGGGTACAAAAAGAAGGACAGAATGAAATGTGAATGGCAAAAATTAAAATATTTTTTATTTTCTTTTAAATAATTAAATAGAATTGTTAAATTGTCCCGCAGTGAGTTGTCCCATGGTGTGTTGGTCGTGGCGAGTCGGCTGTGGCAAATTGGCTGTGGCACGTTGTCCCATTCCTGTTATTTCGTGCCCTCTGTCTGCTTACCCTGATGCCTGAAATTGACACTTTAATTAGTTACATGCTGAAGGCTTTTGCCTCCTAAACTGCTCTAACACATTCCTGCAATTGAAAAACTGGTCTTTCTAATGCTGGGGGGGGGGGGGGGGAATTTATATACATGTACTAAGTATTATTTTTTTTTTGCAGTTTTTCACTGCAGATTTTGTCATTGATGTCAAAAAGGTTAAACAGTGTGTCCTCCTTTCCCTCCCTTATCCTCCTTTCCAATTATCTATGTATGTCCTCCTTTGTCTGTTCAGATACATGGTAACCCATATCTGAACTAGAATTCGGATACTTCGGATAATGTTAAATTTCAGAAAGATCTCTTGATTTTATTTCATTAATAAGTGCTAATTGTCTGGAGGGTTTTGGTCAAAAATTAAATATAGCATCAAGCTTTACTTTGGAGGAAATAGTTTATTAGATTGGAAAACAGATGGGGAATTCTTGTGGCTTTATTACTATCATCAAAGCCTGGTTAAAATGCAAATTACTTCTATCTGTATTTCAGATTATTGTATTCTTAACATTGAGAAATACTGAAACCATTGTACTTTAAAATCTTTTTCTTTTTCTGAAATTTGCCAGTAAGTTACATTGGAGAACTTGAGGTGCCATTAACTCCTCCATGTAGGAAAGAAAATATGCACATGAATTCATTGTATGTCCACTTAAAACCAGAACCTGTTTCTCCCATTAATAAAAGGTAAGGGCATTTTTGTCTTTACTATATTTTATGTCCTCATTGGGGGGGGGGGGGAATGAGACCTTTCGATGCTGCTTCCCCCATTGCGTTCTAGTTTCAGTCCTCCTTAGGGGAAGATGATTTAATTGTAATTTTACGTGTGTGTGTGTGTATGCTTTTTTGTTTATATTTTGATGGTAATCTTTTCAAGTGTTAGGTTTAGTTAGATGTTGGATTATTTTTCAATTATATTGAATTTATTTATTAAGATTACTTGCCACCTTTACTTCACAAACCCCAAGGCTATATATATCGTGCTCCTTCCTCCTGTTTTTCCCTATACTCACAGCACTGTGACAAAGTTGGGCTGAGAGAGTGAAGGTAGCCCAAAGTCACTCAGTAAGCTTCTGTAGCTGAAGCTAGAGCAGAACTGCATCTCTAAGCATCAGTCTAACACTTTAACCCAGCAGTTCTCCACCTATGGGTCACGACCCCATTTGGGGTCGATCGACCATTTCACGGGGGTCACCAAGCAAGGCTGTCCGCCATTTTTTTCCCCTTTTCCGGCGGGTGCTTTACCTCCCTTGAGCTGGGCCAGCTGGTGGTCGGCCTGCTCCATCTCTGCCACTTGCCAGCTACGCCTCGGCCGGCGCAGGGGGCGGAACCACGCATGTGCGGTGCTCCCGGGCAGGGAAAGTCCTCAACTTACGACCGGTTGGGTAGTCCTCGACTTACGACCGGTTTAGTCCTCGACTTATGACCGGTTGGGGGTCACAGCATTAAAAAGGTTGAGAACCACTGCTTTAACCACTATACCAGGGGTAGGCAACCTTGGCTCTTTTATGACTCGTGGACTTCAGCTCCCAGAATTCCTGAGCCAGCACAGCTTTTGGGAGTTGAAGTCCACGAGTCATAAAAGAGCCAAGGTTGCCTACCCCTGCACTATACCATACCAGCTCTTTCTAATTATTATAATTTAAAAAAAAAATAGAAAAAATATTTAGGAAAGTAAATATATTAGTTTGAAAAATACATAAAGCTCCTATTATAAATTCACCTGAAATGGTTCTGGTTGATTTATTAAATGTCACTAGAGTTCAGCAATCTCTGAAGAAATACACGGTCTCTCTGTTTTTGTTTTCTAAGCACAAATATGTGCTGATAATTTCTTTAAGAAATGACCATGACTGATCTGGAACAACAAAATATTTTCAACAGGAATACAGTATACGGCTTATTGTGCCTAGGGGGTCAACTTCTGATTGTGTAATTGACTAGTGAACTGCGTTTTGGTTTAGTGGGTCAAAAAGATATAGCAGCTTAATTTTTCTCTCCTCACACCTATAATTTTCCACCCTGCATTCTAGCAAAATAACCAAATACTTCTAGTAAGTGAGTTAATTCTTTGCTTTCAACTCTGTTAATTAATTATTAGAGATATTCAAGCTGCACGAGGGAAAAGAAATTAAAATTTCTGTGTTGGTATGAAATTATAGTTCTTCCGAGTTTATGTTTTCTAAAAATGAAAAATTGGTGTAGAAAAGAGACAGTATTTATATGTTAACTTACATTTATCTGTTTGTTTGTCTATCTGAAAACAGCATACAGAACCTAATGTTTTTCCTGTTTTCTTTTCCCTTAGTGATTTCATTACAGAATCTACTTCAAACTATTTGGAAGGGCTTATGTGGCAGTCAGAGAAATACCAGAATGCTATGACTTCACTTTTCCTAATAGGTAATTAAGTACAAATTCTGAATTTAGATTTAGTTAAGGTTCACATACTTTTCACACACACGCAAATATGTATCTTTGGATTACTTTCCCCAATAAATAAATGAACGAGTATAATGTTTTTGACTCATTTGTTTGACTGGGTCATTTCATGTAATCTTAGCACTTGTGTGGAAAACTGATAATCTTTTAGGTCATATTTATGCAGAAATATTAAAAGTTCAAAACGGTTCACAAATTTTTAAGTACTATTGTATTTTGAATTGATAGAACAAATCCATGAATAACCATAAGCATTTGCTTGCACAGAGAATGCTATGTGGTTTGGTCCTTGACATCTTTCAAGTAGAAAAGGACTCTGAAAAATATCCTTGAAACTTTGGAGAGAAACTGCTAATATTTTCAGTGTTGACAGTACTGAGCTAGATTGATTAATATGAGTATGAAACAAATTTCTGTTTTCCTAAATAAGCTTATTAGATAATACTTTAAATAAGTATAACAAACTGGAAAATCTATCTCTTGGCCATTAAATAGGTTTTTCTTTCCATTAAAATGTATTTTAATGAGACAGTTGTATGTAATCAATGTAGTCAATAGAACTGCACCTACTTGGAAAATTATTTAGAAGACATGGTTCAGAATATGCAGGAAAATGTGATCAGCATATCTTTAAAGCATCCACAACTTTTTTCTCACTTTTCCCTAATTTTGAAACAGACAGAGCTCTTTTAAGATCACTCCTTTAATGGGTCAATTCCTTAAAGCAGCCAGATCTATTTTCAAGATTACAAGGAGGCTCCAAAACAGATGTGGTTGCCTTAAAAATGTTGTATTTGTGTAACCTATGCTCCTGTACATTCCAAAAGATCTTTTCCAAATAATTTTGAAAGTATATTCAATTGCCTTACTGATATTTAAGTAAGATTTGCTTCTTAAGGTTATAGACTTAAATTTGCATCTTGCAATGTACCCATTGATCTCATTCAAATTTACTTTTGAGTAATATAGTGGTGATTTCTCAGAAGGAAGGGTTTATATTCAGGAACATTTCAGTCCCACGAGGATAACCAGCACACTATATTTGACAACTAAATATGCACAGATACAAATGTAAGATAACTTAACTGGAACGTAGGGATGAAAATAAACTGTATGTCATTTATTTTTTTACAGTACCTCAGACTTCTATTGCTGTATGTCAACAGTTTTCAGTCACAGAACTGAAGACAAAGTTGTCTATACATGAAAATTCCATGACTGCCGAACTCTTGGAAGAAGATGAGTGGATTAATTTAAGAGAAAACCTGACTGTACCGTGTGTCTTAGAAGCACTGAGCATAAATGTAAATGATGAGAGAAGACTTGATAATATGAATATTGAAGATTTTTCCAAAATTACTAATTTCCAGTTAGACAGTAAGTATTTTAAATTTTATTTCAGTTCTTTTTAAATGAAAATATGATATTTCATTTCCACCTGAATTTGTCTAAAAGATATTAGAAGATATGGGATGAGCATGCTAGCTCCCCACATTCTATTAGTGCTACGGCACTATGGGAAAGGTAGTGCAGCATGCAAGTACATTCTATAATGGCATCATTATAGAGAATGTTGGCGCTGGAAATATGCTGCTTGAGGCAATATTGTGTCTGCTCTACTGTCCTGGGAACTATAGCTAACTATACTTATGACAGAAATGAGTCTGTCAAGATCATGCATATTTTTTAACTACTACTCCCTTCTTTTATTTGAATAAGTCTTATCCTTTTCATTTTAATTCTTTTGTTTCTTGTGATAACTTGAAATTGAACTGGATAGATACCTAAACTCAATTTGAGAAGTTCATGTGCACAGATTGTCAAATGTATCTACTACGAGTGCTTGGGACATACAGAATACAGAACAACAGAGTTGGAAGGGGCCTTGGAGGTCTTCTAGTCCAAGGCTTTTCAACCGGTGGTACACGTACCACTTGTGGTACATTAACGAGTGGCAGGTGGTATGCACGGGACGGATCGGTTCACATCACCCCCTCCCTTTCTCGGTCGCGTCCGTTCCTGAATGATACTCTCTCAGGAGACCTCGACGTCTCACCGACCCCGTTTCCGGGGTCCGAGTGAAGACCGAGTGGGTGGGTACTCTTTCCTCCTCCCCCCCGCCTCTATCCTCTCCGATATTTTCCTCCGTCAAACCCGCCCTCTCCCTGAGAGAGAAAAAGCAGGAGCCTTGGGAGGAGGGGGAGTCAGCTCTAGCTGCAACGAAGGGAAAGAAGGAGGAGGAGGAGGAGGAGGAGGGTGGGGGGAGAGGAGAGGAGATCAAGCAGGCCGGCCATGAGCCGATCTACAACTGCTGTGGCAGCCACCTGTGCTGGCAGTAGCAAACAGGCAAGACATTCAGTGGGGGAGGGTTCGCCCTCCAAGAGGAATGAAAAAAGGCAGCAATGACTGGAGGTGAGGCACGGAGGAGGGAGGGAAGGAGGGAGATGGAGAGTGGAAGGATTCTTATGTGCTTTTGTGACTTTGAAGTTCTGGGATTTGTGCAATGTGGGCTTTGTGTTCTTAAGGACTGCTTGGCAATTTCTATTTGGCTGATGGCTGATGTCTCCCGTTAGCTCCTATTACTCTGCTATTGTTAGCTGTAAGTTTTACTGCAAGGGATTTTGAAGTATTTTTCTCCTGAATGGATTTTGCCTGTAGCATTCCTTTACTTATGAATGGAGCCATTTGGGGAGACTGCCTTAGCTGGCAGCCAATACTTACTACATTTTTTTTTCTTCCTTAAGTGCTGGCTGCGCTCCTTAACTTTCCTTTCTAGCCAGTAGCTAATTCTTAAAGGGGAATGTGCCTTTTTAAGCTAGTTCACTCAGCAGTTTGTCTTTTCTGTCTCTGGAGGCTTTTCCTTGTTTGATGAATATATGGAAGAGAGAAAATATGGGGGGGTTTTCAAATTCTTCCTTCAGAAGGAGGTGGGCATGAGAAAGAGGGAGGGAGGGAGGGAAGTCCCGCCTTAGCACTTGCCACCAGCAGCCTTGCCATTGACTTTGCTTGTCAAAAGGTTGCAAAAGGGGATCACATGACCCTGGGACACTGTGACCATCATAAATATGAATCAGTTGCCAAGCTTCCAAATATAAATCACATGACCCTGGGCATGCTGCAATGGTCATAACTGTGAAAAAATGGTCATAAGTCATTTCAGTGCAATTGCAACTTTGAACAGGTTGGTTTTTGTTTTTGTTTTGTCATCAAGTTTTTGACACCTTGCTAGGTGGTACTCGAATATTGCTATATCCTAAAAGTGGTACAATCGGTGAAAAGGTTGAAAAGCCCTGTTCTAGTCCAGCCCCCTCCTCAAGCACGAGACCCTATACCACTTCAGGCAAATGGTTGTCCAATCTCATTTTAAAACCTCCGTGGTCGAGCACCCCACAACTTCTGAATTTGATTGTTCTCACTGTCAGGAAATTTCTCCTTAGTTCCAGGTTGCTTCTCTCCTTGATTAGTTTCCATCCGTTGCTTCTTGTCCTACCTTCAAGTGCTTTGGAGAACATGTTGACCCCCCTCTTCTTTATGGCAGCCCCTGAGATATTGGAAGACTGCTATCATGTTACCCCTAGTCCTTCTCTTCATTAGACATCTTATCTGGTTTAAATTCCAAAGTCTGTTCATCCCATTTCAGTTGTCTGTCATCTGTTAAGAGATACACCACAAAGCAGCTCGCTCTGCCTCTGAAGATGCCCGCCACAGCTGCTGGCAAAACGTCAGAACAAAAGAAAAGTAGACCACAACCATTCAACCCCAAAGCTATTTGCTGTTTTGTTGTGTTTTTGTCTTTTGTGATCAGAAATGCTCAGCTTGTAGTGAGCCAACCATCTCTGGACCTTCGTTGCAACACTTTTCAAATTTTGTAAAACAGGAATGTCAAATTTGAACTAAATCCATGAAGTTTATTTTTTCCTAGGCTACTCAAATTCTTCACTTTCTGATTTTGTTCTTTTAGCATTTCTGCCTTTTGCTGCTATGTTTACTATTTCCTCAAATTTTGTTTGTCTTTCTGTGTAATAGAATAGAATAGAGCTGGAAGGGACCCTGGAGGTCTTCTAGTCCAGCCCCCTGCTCAAGCATCTCAGACAGGTGATTGTCTAGTCTTTTCTTAAAAATCTCCAGTGATCGAGGTAAGCTGTCCCACTGGTTGATTGTCCTTACTGTCAGGAAGTTTCTCCTTAATTCCAGGTTGCTTCTCTCCTTGATCAGCTTCCAACCATTGTTTCTCGTCCTGCCCTCTGATGCTCTGGTGAACAACCTGACCTCTTCTGCATTGTGGCAGCCCCTCAGATACTGGAATACTGCTATCATGTCTCCCCTATTTCTTCTTTTCTTTAGACTAGCCAAACCCAAGTCCCACAGCCATTCTTCGTATGTTTTAGCCTCCAGGCCTTTGATCATCTTAGTTGCTCTTCTCTGAATTTTTCCCAAACTCTCATCTTTTTTGTGATATGGTGACCAAAATTGGCGGCAATATTCCAGGTGTGGTCTTACTAGAGTTTTATAAAACGGTATTAGTACTTTGCATGATCTTGATTCTACACCTCTGTTTATACAACCCAGGATTGTATTAGCTTTTTTGGTTGCTGCTGCACACTGCTGGTTCATAGTCAAGTGATCATCCACTCCAAGGTCCCTCTCACAGTTACTGTTTTTGAGCCAAGTCTCGCCCAATCTGTATTTGTGCCTTTGGTTTTTCCTGCCTAAGTGTTTTTCTATTCTCATTTCCAGTATTTTTGCATATGCAGATAGTACCATTTTGTGTTTTTCTTAATAATTTTTATTAGAATTTTCCAAATACAATTAAAATATAAAAATTAAAGAGGATAAAAGAAAAGAAGTAAGAAAAAAAAACAGAACTTTGACTTCTGCCCTTCTTTCCATTGAGTAATTGTCATCTTCATTTTTCTCCTTCCTCATTAACACTTTTTAATCTCCAAATCCATGCATCATCAATTCAGTCTCTTCTGTTTCAATAAAAAGTCCATATAAGGCTTCCAGTCTTTTAAATAAGTCTTTATTGTTTTTTTTCTAGACCATAGACAATACTGTTTTCTGGAACACAAATTATTAGGGTACGAGAGGGATTGTTACTCCTTTTTTCATTTTATTTTTATTATGTATTAAATCATCGATTCAGCTTCTAAATCAGAATATAATCAAAGATCTCAAGGTAACATATAGCTTGCAGCCCTGGTTTTATTCTGTTTGTATTCAATGGAGGCTTTGATCTGTAGATCAAGGAAAAAGCTAATGTTCAATTATTGTCCTTCTGTAAAGGTGTTGGTAAAAACAGATCCTGCCAAGATTGCAAATGGCGATCACATGATTGTAGGGCATTTGGCAACCAGTCAAAAATGCTTCACAGGCTATAAGCATCCTTTCTGAGGCCATCATAACTTCAAATGATTGTTAAGTGAGGATCACTTGTACAAAAGTGTGTTGGGAATGGAGATGAATTCCCTTCATTCTTATCTTGCTGACAAAGGCTTTTGCCACATAAAAAAAGAGTTCTGTTTTCAGAGTGACCTTTATGAGATATAATCCAGTAACACAGTTTTTGATGGTATGGAAAAGTAGAATTTCCTATTTCTAATCCCCCATAGTTACAATAGCCATAGACATAAAAGGGGATATTATAGCCAAGCCTTAATAACACCATCCAAATTTCTTGGGCTACAAATAGTGTGCTGACTGGGAATGAACATAGACCAATGCATCTGGTGGGAATCAGATTGGTGAAAGCTACTCTAATAACATGAATAATTCCTTGGAAAAGCTATATTACAGAAAGCTTGTGCTTTTACTAACATATTTTAAATTGTTGACCTTCTAGAAAGCTCTTAAAACATAGTTCTGTCAATTAGCTTGAGGATCCCATGATACAATGGAGCCTGCTAGATCAGGGCTTTTCAACCTTTTCACCCATTGTACCACTTTTAGGATATGGCAGTATCCGAGTACCACCAGTCGCCTAGCAAGGTGTTAAAAACTTGACCAAAGGGAAAAAAAGGAAAAAAGTGATAAAGTACAGGTAGTCCTCGACTTACAACAGTTCACTTAATGACTGTTCAAAGTTACAATGGCACTGAAAAGGTGTCCCCCAAACCACAGCCGAGCAAGACACCTGCCTGCCCGCCCGGCGGCGCTCTTCCTCCTGTCCGAGGTTTCCATTGTTGTGAGCATTTCTGTTGAGGATTGGCAGTGGGGGTGGGGTGGGGGGTGTTTGGTTTTTATTCCCCCCGTCTGCTGGGTGGTTGCAGCAGGTTTTGGTCACTTCACATGACCCTGGCATACTGTGACCGTCATAAATATGAATCAGTTGCCAAGCATCTGAATGTAAATCACAAGACCCTGGAGATGCTGCAACATTCCAGCTGATCAGCGCTTCTTCTGGGCTCAGCAGAAGTGCTAGGATCAGCACTGAGCTTCAGTTGGAGCCTGGCGCTGATCCTGGTGCTTCCACTGAGCCCTGACAGCCCTGCAGCTCCAGCCATCTCTTACTCACTTGTGTAGTGCTGCCACCAGTTCAGCTCATTCCCCTCCTCCGCTACCACTTTTCTAGGATGGTCGCGTACCACCTGCCAGAACGGTTACATGGTGTCCACCATGGGCATGGTGACCAACTTTTCGGGACTAGATATGGTAGGTCTCAGTAGTACACTCTACCCGTCGATATTTTTACACTAATTTATTATTTTAATACAAGAGAATTAGTGTGGTTAACGAAACGTCCAATCATGAGAAAATCGTTGACAAACAAATCGTTGGTAAACGTCAATGGTGTATTACGAAAAAGTAACTTTACAAACAATCCTTGCATTTATGATCTTCACAGAGCTGTAAGAGGAAGGAAAACTGAAGTAAGACCACAACACTGTTGCGGTTTCATTTGCAAACCACTTCAGTTAACCACTGAATTGCTGCTCACAACTGTCCCTGTGCAAAAATTTCCTGTATATCCTAATTTCAAAGGATACAAATAACTGTTTGGCTTGATTGTGATATCCCATAATAATTCAGAATATGTTTTTGACTGAGCTGTGTTCAACTGAAAAATAAATACATAGATAATGGACGAATATTTGTTTTCTTTTCAGAATGGCTTGATGACAAGGGTCCCTACTGCGACAGCAACATGAAGATTTTCAGTATCCTTCATTATACTGGGACCAAGGATTTTTATTCTCCTAAAAAAAATGAGACTTTTTCTTTACTACCTCTGACACCTACTTCACTACAGTATGGTATTTCTACAGCCGACAACAATGTATCTACTGAAAATTATATCAAACAAACCAAATCACAAAATGAAATTGAAAAGCCAGTGCAGATTGAAAGCCATGAAGTAGAAAAAAACAATCAATTAGTCAGTTGCAAGAAAGTCTCTATCTCAGCAAATAGTACATTAAGAAGCAATAAGTCAGCTCTATCTGAACAGCCTAGAAAATGTAAAGATGACTTTGATCTTTTGAGTAATTTTATCATGCTGAGATCTAAACAGGTGATCAGCCAAAGTGATGAAGGAAATAATGTGGATATTCAAGAAGAAGGTAGTTTTATTGCTTTTCTTTGGCTTTTAAATCTTGTGTATGGGCTGTTTGTAAGTACAGCGTAGCTTAGGTTAAAATGTTCTTTTCTGATTAAAAAAAAAACTACAACTGTATTAGGAACTACCCATGTAAACCAATGAGGTCAGAAAGGATCAGGTGGGAATGTAGGAATACAATATTTAGAGTACATGGTAAAACTAAAACTACTTAATAAGATATTCCCTTACCATAGGGAACATTTTGATCTATATGGGGAAAGGAAAATTAAACATCTCTAATAATGCATTTTCTAGTATCTGAACAAACAGTAATTCTTAAGAGCGTTTAGAGTTAGTTATTGGAGTATATTTTATGTGGTTTATGCACATGCACATTTTACTCTGTGTGCCTATATTGGGAAGCTACACGCAGTTCCCATCAAATGGTCACTTGGGGAGAATATCTACAGTACTAAGCAAAAAATAGGAGTCAAATTACAATCTGAACAACTGGGCAGCATGCAGTCAAGTGCTTTCTGGGTTGAGCTGTAATATTACAGAGGTTCTAATTTTTACTTTAAAATCAAAGTAATTTAAATGTACAATGAAATGAACCTTGGCTTAAATAATGCTGTAAAAACTGTGCTTGCTGATAGAAACACACCGAGAGAGATCAATCAAAATGTGCTGATACAGTGAAAGGGTACAGATATAATTTGTATATGCTTTGGCTAATGGATGTCAGATTAGATTGGGGGTGGGGTATTGTGTGTTAATCAATAGCTCCGGGTATCATTATCACAAAAATATGGAAGGATAATATAGTTTCTCCCGTTACCACCCTTCCACTCCCTTTGGGTTTTTCCACTGTTGATTCTCTTCTCCTGTTTTCAGAATGGAAAGCATATGCAATAAATCTCATTGTATTTAATTACATATCTTATTGACCCTTAATGGTTGGTAAATTCTGCTCTCAGAAGCATCCAGCCCCACCTTGCTAAATAATTGTGTTAGTTAATGTGTAATTCAATTGGGATGCAAGTTAACTAAAAAGCATCTCGATATATTTAATTAAAAAGAATTTCCACTGGATGAATAATTTGTTTGTTGTGTAGAACCAGCACAGATGATAAAAATGATGTATGTCATAGATATAGCAGAATTGCCATGGAAGTATTAAATTCTTTATGTTCACATATTCAAACCCTCAAAGTTTAGACTTTAATTAAGTTTCATGAATAGTTTCAATACTTATTTACTAAGAAAGCAGCATCAATTACTTTATTAGATTTTCATTGTTTATGAGAATTGTAGAACTAATAAGTCCTATAGTACAGCACTACATCTTTTTTTAGTCTTATGTTACCATCTAGTGATCTCACACTAAAACTGCAATTATATGTTACATTCTGTATATGTTTTAGAATTTCTCTGTAGAAAACTTCCCTATGATTTCTTTTATAGAAAACAAGAAGCACAATAGCAACCTACAGTCTCTTGAATGTGCCATGCAGCTATTACAGCTTTTCAGGTTTTCATTGTATAAGAAGCTATCATTTTGGGTGCAGGCTGCATTCAGTTCCCCAGTATTGGGTACACTTCTACTTCTTCCTCCCCAAAACTGTCATTGATCTATGATTTTTACAGTTAGAAAATGGGAACATTACTGAATACAAATAGTATCATAATGAAATAAACAAGAGAAATATTAACAGTATTTAGTTAACTACACCTGAAAAATTTAGTATTGTCCTGATCTCGTTCATGAACCCATTTATTTTTTGAATAAATATACAACTCAAGGGTAGGTCTTGATCCAAAGAAAGGACATCATTCAGTAAGGAATTAGACTGCTTTAACTTATTTTGTGAGCATGTTTTTGTATTTCCTAAGTATTTGATCCTGAGGAAGAACAACCTTCACTTGAAAGCCACAAAAGTCCTGGTGTTCCTGGCATGACAGTTCCTGTGGAAAACCTCCATAGACATATGGAAAACCAATCAAAAGACAGTCATACATTAGCTTTCATCAAAATTAAAACATCAGGTATTAAATATTTTAAAGCCTCGTTTTAAGGTTTCTTTTATAACAGGAACTCTGGATTTCAGATTCTTTTGTAATGATCTCAAAACTCCCCCAGTTATAAAGAATCAACAATTATATGTAGGCAGAATTCTGTTCAGAAAAGATGGTCAAATTAATGCACAATTAACTCCCTTGACCAATATATCTTCTTCTTCTTCTTCTTCTTCTTCTTCTTCTTCTTCTTCTTCTTCTTCTTCTTCTTCTTCTTCTTCTTCTTCTTCTTCTTCTTCTTCTTCTTCTTCTTCTTCTTCTTCTTCTTCTTCTTCTTCTTCTTCTTCTTCTTCTTCTTCTTCTTCTTCTTCTTCTTCTTCTTCTTCTTCTTCTTAACATCATAATCTTCACAGGAGGCTGCTTATGTATCCTACTGAAAATCGAGTGTCTCACCAAGTTAGCCAATTAGATTGGTACACATTGCTGCTTTTTATGTAGGGAAACACATTTTAAAAGTACTATAATTTTTAAATGATATGTTCACCTCTGTCTGCTATCTAAGAATTAACTCTTGATGGACCTCTTATTCCTAGGAATCTTCATTTTTAAGAACCATAGGTTAAGAGTTGTTAGGCTTTCAAATACAGAATTGCATTCTATGTGCCATTAAAACAGAGGGAAATGACCTGTGAAATAGGTTACATGGCCATATTAGATCTATACAGAGAAAGATAGAAAAAGAAAGTCACTCTCTATTTTTCTATGCACTGATTTGAATTTGAAAAAATAGTTATGTAGTATCTGTTGGCTCCCCTTTAAGTATATGTTTTCCTGGAATTATACCCTAGTTACAGACAGCAGAAGCACAAGCTTCTGCAAAGAGTTGCTGACAAGTGGTTATGTAAATGTCCACAAGCATGCCAAATCATCTTTTCCCATTCAAATCTGGATTACTGCTAGCCTAATTCATGGATCTAAAATGTCTGAGGTTGGGAAATAAAGAAGTCAGAAAAGAAGATAAAGCAGAAGCAAATATTCTGTTGTACATATGTTCTAAAGAAAACATGAATTTATCAAGACATGATCACAATGCCTTTTAGTGTTAATGAAAACTATCTGGTTATCAGAAAACGTCAGTTTCGAAATCATTGATCATAAAAATATTGATTTATTTCACTATTTATTTTGTTTTGCAGGACTTTAAAAGCATTTTGTTAAATCTTTGCTTTGTTTTAACTAGAGTGTCAGTCTCAGGCATATCATATCCTGGAAGCTGCAGCGGCTCCAGTTTTGAAAGAACTTATAAAGCTTGACATGCAGAATTGGAGATTTGCCACACTTAATTCTGATAACACCAGGTTTTTTTTGAAACAACAAGAGAAAGTGATCAGTGACACATTGAAACAAGGTGGGACTGCTGAGTTTTTTCTAAAATTATATATCGTTCATATTCTATATAGTAGAAAGGTACAATTCCATTTTTATTCATTTCTTTTTCCCTAATGCCGTTTTGCATAAAGATCTTTCAACTTAAGATATTGGAGACTGAATCAGGAATCTTCTTCATAATAATCCATGCTTTAATTTATTTATTTTATATAGCCAGCCTGTCAAAAAGAATTCAGAGTGGCATACAATTAAACTGGTGTTTCTCAGCCGTGACAACTTTACAATGTGTGGACTTCAACTCCTGGAATTCCCCAGCCATCATGATTAGCTGGGGAATTCTGGGAGTTGAAATCCACACATCTTAAAGTTGGCCAAGACTGAGAAACACTGAATTAAATGTATATGCAAACACACAATATAAAACATGCGATCCAGTCTGCTAAATCTAATCAGCAATCAAAATAATCTCATTGGATGGGAACTCAATTATCCTAAAAAAAAATACAGATCATAAATAGCGAGTAGCATCAGGGTCATCTGGACTTCAAGAGTAGGGGAAGGAGAGAAAATAATATTCGACAGGACAGGTGCAGCAACAGAGAAAGCATCTCTTGTGCGACCCATGAAATAAGGCTGCTTAAGAGACAGAAGTGGGACTGAAACTTAATGGGTGGGCATAAATTGCAGATAGCCCCACAAATGATCAGATCCTTTGCCAAGAATTGTTTTAGATATTATAGTCAGCACCCTGAATTATACCTGGAAGCCAATGGCACCCAGTGCAGCACATGAAATAGTTGTGTTACATTGCCATGCTGAGATTTGCCAGTAACTACCTATGCATCCACTTTACAAGATGGATCTGAACAAAGATGGGATAGAACGGTAACAGGACCATCTGAGACACACCTGATTTTTGGCCAAACATCTTGGTCAAAAACTGCTGTAAAAAAAGCTAAGAAACATGAAAAAAATATTAACTAAGACCATTTGCAGGACTAGAATGGAAAATACAATATTAGAAAAAGTATTGGGTGAACTATCATTTTAATTCTATTTCCAAATAATTATGAAAAGCAATGCTTTTGAATTGCTAAAGGGTACTGATGTAAAAGGAAATCCTAACCTTTTCCCCATGGCACAAGTAGCCATGGCATAAGCATCTCCTAGCAGTGTTTTTTTTTTCTGATGTTCCCACTATATACTTTCATCTTGACACCAACCTTAAGTCATCTGTAGCTATACCAGTATTAAAAGCATATTCCACACTTATTCCAACACCATATAGCAGTGGTGGCGAACCTATGGCACGGGTGCCAGAGGCGGCACTCAGAGCCCTCTCTGTGGGCACGCGCACCGTCGCCCCAGTCCTAGGCCTTCAGCTGGGTTTTATAAAACCTTTTCGCTTTAGGCCTCTGCTGCCGTGTACAAAAAAAAAGGGTTCAATCAATCAATCAATTTCAACTTCTCGCGGGGAAAAAAACAATCTTGCAAAGTTGGAATTGATTGATTGAACTTTTTAGTCCCACCCAGACTGCTGTTACCACCGCAGCCATGCCCTCCCAATGGACCACACCCATGCAATGTGCCACACCCACCCGGCACTCGACGATGCATAAGTGGGTTTGGGGTTGCAGTTTGGGCACTCGGTCTCTAAAAGGTTCACCATCACTGCCATATAGCAATCCCCTCCAGTATGGGTAAAGTAAGTTAGGCTTTGCCATCCTTTATCTTGAAATGAAATTACCTGGTCACAGTGATTCGAAACAGGAGCAGTAAATGTGGGATTAAGGTCAGCAATGGAGAGAGGAAGTTTCAAATCAGTGTAGTTTTCTACTCACACAAGGAGGGGTGATAACATTTTGACTCTGCAGCAAAAAAAATCCCTTGACAGCATATTTAAGGTATGCAAGAGGACATGCGATTTACATTGAGATGTCAAATTGCTCTATACGTCAAATTGTCCAATTTAATGGTCAGAATTGCTCCATTAAGTGCTAGATGTCAAAGTGCTTAAATTTAATAACAGGATTTTTGTGCCTGGACCTTTATATCCACCAAACTAAATATAAGAAATGTTATTGTGTTTACTAAATAGTTTTTGTAGTTCTGGAAGAATAATCTCTAATATTATTTTTCCCTTTTTTATAGGTAGCAAAGAGGCAAAGTATATTTTGGCATTCAGACATGCTGCTATTCTTCATTTGCTGGTTACAGTTCGTGATCTTTTATTAACCTGTAACTTGAACATCGCATTAGGTAATTTTTATAAAGAGATGTAGTCCTACATTGGTTTACTGAAATACAGCATTCTATGTCTACCATAGATTGGAAGATGGAAAAAATCCATTTATATTTTGTACAGATTTTATTGCCAGGCTACATGTAGTGAAATCTCTTTAATTTTTAAAATAAATATAGTAGCAATGGAAAAAAATTACTACGAACATTTTAAAAAGTAACGGTTTACTTTGAATGAGCAGACCTTGGGTATAAATCTTGATTTAATGTTCAGCTTTAAAATGTATTAAGAATCATTTAAAAAGGGAAGACATAAGGGAGAAAAATAGGATTTGAAACAGACTTATGTGAAATATGTAGAACATGTGATAAATAATGTGTATTTGAACAGAATATCTGTCCAAGACAAAAGATAATTATAAAGATTTCCAAGACTATGACCTGGATATTATTTGGAAACAGCTGAAAATTGTGGAATTTGTTGTGCAGGAGCACAAAGTCAGTCCCAAAGTGACAGAATTACAGCATCAAATTTCTAAGTGGGTACAGAATAATCCAAATGATCAGAATAAGGTAAATAACACCGAAAACCTGATATTGAGGAGAAAGTACTCAAACTGTAGCTGCAGTGAATACTGGGAGAAAGAAACATTTCAGTCAGGTTTCAAGCTGAAGTTCAGCACAGAGATATTGTTAGTCATATATCTAGATTATATGTGAAAGCACCAAGATAGGGTTTCTGAAACCCTGCTCAACCTTGAGTAGCTTTCAATACAATCTATCATGGATTTCCTGGGTTGGGAGTAGAGGGCACCGTTTTGCGGTAGTTCCCCTTCTTTCTGAAGGAACAGCTCCAGTTTGTGGGGGTATGTGACCATGCACTTGGGCCCCTCTGTTGTGGGCTTAATAGTCTGCCTACTCCTATTCAACACCTACATGAAACTGTTTCTTCAGTATGCTGTTGAGACCAACTCTACATGTTGATTACTGACTGAATATATCAGGGGTAGTCAACCTTGGCTCTTTTATGACTCGTGGACTTCAATTCCCAGAATTCCTGAGCCAGCATAGCTGGCTCAGGAATTCTGGGAGTTGAAGTCCACGAGTCATAAAAGAGCCAAGGTTGACTACTCCTGGAATATATGATGCTGCCAAAATGCTATCCAGGTATTGGAAGATAGCCTGGATGGAGAGTAACAGGTTTAAACTCAATTACAGAGTGGCTTTAGGTCTGAAGGACCACCAGTTCCAGTTAGATTCCACTTTAATTCTGAACGGGGCTATACTCCTGATAATTGGTTTGCAATCTGAGGGTTTTCTTTCCCTCACAACACCTGCTGGAGAAGATGACAGCTATAGTGAAGAGGGCTTTTGCACCAATTGCAACTTTTCCTGGAATAGAAAGGGTAGTCCCTGTCAGTGCTGCCTTAGACAACTATAATGTGCTGTATATGGGACTGTCTTTGAAAACCATTTGGAAACTGTAGCTGGTCCAGAATGCAGTAATTCAAATAGTTATGGGTGCACCCCAGGCATCCAAGTAACACTTCTGTTTCAAGAGCTGCATAGCTGCCAGTTGGTTTAGAGTGCAATTCAAGGTACTGGTTTCAAATCCTTCATGGTTCAGGACCTGGTTATCCATGGGATCTGGTTGGGTGGGCTCTCATTAGGACCAGAGAATGGGGGAAGCCTACCTATAAGCAGAATAATCTTTAGTTCAGTAAAAAGTAAATGACACTGCATTGCATTTTTCCACATTAGTATATTCTTATTTTTCCCCCGTTTATTGTTGCTTCAATCCTGTAGTCATGGAAATACTCTACCAATGATTCAGGTTACTGTTAGAGCCCTTAAATATCAAATGGAGATTGTTAAATTGTTTAATTAAAATGTTTTTTAATGCTGTATCAGGTATTAATTGTGATTAGAATGGATTTTGATGAAGAAACAGAAGTCCTAATCAATACCATTAATACAGTGCAAGGTAAAAGTTACTTTTAATTTTTATATTGCTTTGAAAGCTGACATTACCCATATAAAAAGTTTATTCCATATTTCATTTCCAATATAATTGATCAGGGTACCAAATCTCTAATAGTATTCCATTTTCTCCACTTATTATAATGGAGCTAGCAGAGTAACATGCATCAAATATGTATCTACAGCTTTCAGTAAAAATATTAGCCAACTGCTAAAAAGCACGGTATAAAAATATGATCATTTAACTAGCTTTAACAAAACATACTAATTTAACAATCAACAGATAATGCTATAGATTTAATAAATAACTTTGCTTACAAAAAGTTTTAAAAGATTTCAGCATAGTTGTATAAAGACAGCATCAGTTTAATAATTCTATGCTTTTACTAATTTATCCACTCAGCTGGATAAATATCTAATCATTGCCCAATATCATTTTCCAAGACTGTGAATGAATGTTTAATAATATATTTATCTCTTTATGTAGGCTTGAAGGCCATATTTTTGAATTCTAAGAAAAGAGGAATGTTGTTTGAGAGTAAACATATAATAAATAGGTAGGTGTAGTTAATTATTATTGAATAATATTAATATCTTGAAATTATTTCAGAAAAGTATTCAGAAGATGTCACTAAAAATACTAAAAATAAGACTTTTTCTTGACTTTTCATTTTTAGTTTGGACGTATATTCTTGTATCATTGTACATAATCCACATATTGGGCCTGATTTCCCCTGGACCAATTTTTCATTGGTGATAGAGTACAACTACAATGAGAATTCCTGTTGGATTGATCTATGTAAAAAAATGAATATACCTTACTTAATTTTCCAAACAGCTCCCCCAGAAGCAATTGAAACTGGTATGTGAATGTTTCAGATACAAAATTGAAGAAAAAATAAGATAGAAAATTAGAGCTTGCTTTGTAAAATATTCTAATGTTTGTACATAATTATTTTCTAGAGAGAAAAAACTTAATTTGTAAAATTGTTTTTAATTATGCAGCTGTAGATAATTAGTCTTTATGGTGAACTATTTGTGTGTTAGTTTTTGTAGAATTGCATATTACATTATTCAACTTGAAAGTTGTTTATGTCTATTATCTCTGCAATCCTTGGTGTTACCTTGAGATGTAAATTTTATAAATAAATCCAGGGGGAAAAAATCATGTAACAAAATATTAGGTTCATTTTTAATACTGATGGGTGCTGAAATTGACTGCTTGTAGTTTTCCAAAAACAACCTATTTGAATTAACAGCAAAAGGTTTTTTTTTTCTTATGTAAATAGGTAAGATTTTTAGTTTTAGCCAGGATGTTATACTATATTAATTGTCCTTCACTTCTTATAAGGCACTTCAGGGTATGGAAATTCTAATGTGTATTGCACATCAATCTTTGCTAGAGAGAATCAAATCTGCACAGATCTTCTTTCTATCTGCTGATTTCAGTTAAAATGAATAGGGCAAGACAGTATATACCAGCGCTCTATATTAACATCAAATTAAAATGTCTTTCCTTGCTGAAAAGTTGCTAAAGAGCTAAATGATAGAGGATTGGCTTTAGGCAGAGATTAAAGTCAATGCTTTAAAAGCATTGCAAGATAGCACTGAATTTGGAAAGAATTCCTTTCATATAGTAAGAATGTAATAGTTTGTACTGATTTTGTGCTGACCCAAATAGCTGCCAGGAAGGTAACATAAACACAAAACATTATAGCAATTAGGAATTGTATTTCCCAGAGGGAATATCCAAAAGCACAATGAAGCTTTTATCTGGAATTATTCATTCTGAAGTTTTAGCAATGAACTCTTATGGATAGTCTGAAAACAACAATTTCTTAAATACTATTTATTCATAAAAATTGACCCAACAGATTGAATGTTACAGATAGTTGGGACTGTATTTTTTTTTTTAAGATTTTTTTTTTGCCTAGTTCTTGCTTTTAATGAAATGTTGATGTTATTTGTTTTTTAGAAGAGTTTTTGTCTGATAATCTTGGATATGATCTTCTGAGGTTGTCAATTCCTTATGTTTTTTTGACATCTGAAGGACTTCTCAATACCCCAGAAATCCTTCAGTTACTGGAATCCAAGTAAGTAGTGAAACTCCAAGGGCAGGAGAAGTTCAAATTTTCAGATCCTTTTCATTGATGCATGTTCCTTCCAAGCCCCATGTAATTTTACATTTGTCTTGCCTTATATTTATGTCAATTTATTTTTTAAAACACTTTTATTCCTGCATTAAGGCCCACTTAGATTCATCTGACTTTTTACTGAGAAGTAGTCAAAAACACAGAGTGATGTGTGTATGGACTGGACCTTGATTTGTGCTTCAGCATTAGGCACATAAGCGCTGCTTGACCAGGGTCCGTAGTATTGTCAGGGACTTTACACAACCTTTCCATGGTTTTCTTTGTTGCCTTCTGGGAGGAGGCTTCATGTTATCCGAAAGCAGAACAACTAGACCAGGGGTCTTCAAACTTAGCCCTTTTATGACTTATGGACTTCAACTCCCAGAATTCCTCAGCCAGGCACGCTGGCTGAGGAATTCTGGGAGTTGAAGTCTACAAGTCATAAAAGGGCCAAGTTTGAAGACCCCTGAACTAGATTCTGTAACACCTTTGTTCAATATAGTGTCAACCTTGTTAACTCTCAAGATACTTTTTCCCCACTAAGTATTCAAAATGGACTGTGATTAATATAAGTTTTGTATCAATTTTGTATAACTTGGTATTTTTGGTGCTGCTGCTGTTATTATATTATTACTGTTATCCTTGGGATGGTGACATTGTTTGGTGGGTGGCGTTCCTTGTTTTGAGAGCGAGGCATTGGAATTTCATTTTAATGTGTGGTGTTGTAAGGCCAGTAAATGACAATAAAGATTTTCTTATCTTACACAAGTTGCAGAAGGCATGAGAGAACTGTACTTAGCATATACTGTAGTAAATCACTAGTGACATAGGCAGGATATGATTGTTGGAAGTTGGATTGTGGGTACAGCAGAATTGTAATATATTCAGTGGATTACTGACAAGAACTTTCACATGCAGGTATAATATTACTTTAATTGAAAGAAACTGCTGTGAGGCCTTAAACTATTTTGGAGGCACAGAACATTATGTTGTGATGACTATAGATGAATGCACAGCTATTGTTATGCAGGTAAAAAATATTATCACAATACTATTATCACGTATCCCTATATATAGTTGCCTTGCATTCATATCACAGGCACATATACATTTTTAATTATTTGATAAATATCCACAATATCTGTCATAATATATATATATAGTAGACTTATTCTCACTTTTTTACAAAGAGAAACTGAATAATCTGTCTTGCATGCAATCTGTATCTTGAATTAAACGTTATTGAGATATATCAAGGTTTCTCAGCTTTAGTATGATTAGGAAATTCTAGAACTTGAAGTCCAGACCTGTTAAAGTTGCTAACATTGAGAAACATTGTGACTGGGCTGTACTGACAGAATCTTACAAGTCTGTGTCCCTCCCTCTCATATCCCATTGAGTAAGGAAGGAGTAGCCTGAGCTTCCTCCTACCTAATATTATCTTCTTTCCCAGGACTTAAGGAACAATTTTGTCCTTGTTTTTGTAATGGTTTATGTCCAGTGGCGGGATTCAAATATGTGAACAACCAGTTCTCTGTGTGGATACCGCTTCCGGAAGTCTGCTCTGGGTCTGGGCAACAAAAAATTAGCTACCGGTTCTGCGAAAGTGGTGAGAACTGGCTGAATCCCACCACTGTTTATGTCTCCTTCAGTGCCATTGCCATGGCTCTCTACAGTTTAGCCACTTCATGCATGTGCTAACACTCATGAAAGCTTCTGCCCTTAAATAAAATTTGTTGGTCTGAAGAAATACTATTAGCCTCCAGATAATATGTAATTTGCCAAATTTATGGTTACAATATTGTACCTGAACAGTAAAACTTCAGTCACCACTAGGTGGCAGCATAGCATTTTCTTGCTGCCTTCTAGAGGTTTTCCACATTTTTGCAGCTCAGATATAGTAGTCTTACCAAATTGTTATAGTATCAATTATATCTTTGGCCAATTATTTTATAATACTACACATCAGTGTATTTGCCTGCTTCATGGCAATTTTATTAGTAGTAGCAGTATTTGTTTATTTGTATCCCACCTTTTTTATTTTTACAAATAACCCAAGGCAGTGAACATATCCAACATACCTTCCTACCTCTATTTTCCCCACAACAACCAGCCTGTGAGGTGGATTAGGCTGAGAGAGTATGACTGGACCTTTTTCTCATTTTGTTGTAGAACATGGAAGAACTCAATTATGAAAACTCCTCTAATAATATTGTCTTAAGACTGATGGCGCTATCACTCCAGTATGCCTCCTGTTGGATTATTTTATACTCCAGAGAAAGATTAAATTCTAAGTAGGTAAAAAGCTTTAAATTAATTCTTAAGCTTAAATTTTGAAGTCTACATTTTTTAAAAATAAAAGTTAGAATTGTGATATTCTTGCACAATTGTTGCCGAAACAATGGAGATATTCTGGAATACCTTAATAAATTAACATTTGTAGTTGTTAAAATGCAAAGCAAATCATGGAAGCAGTACTCTCGCCTGTTCAACATAAATCTGTAACTTGTGCTTGCTTTGTTATAATTGAAGAAACACAAGTGTTTTTATTACTATTTCATGCATTAAAATGTTTGAAATTATTCAAGTTTCATCTATTCTATCTACCTCTCATATCCCCATGTATCATTAACCTTTCTCATCAAAAAACCTGTGTTTGTGTGTGTGTGTGTGTGTGTGTGTGTGTGAGAGAGAGAGAGAGAGAGAGAGAGAGAGAGAGAGAGAGAGAGAGAGAGAGAGAGAGAGAGAGAGAGAGAGAACAATAATAAAATATGCTGTTTTATTTAGATACAGCCTAACTGGAAAATCCCTGCATCATCTTGCTTTAATTTACGCAGCCTTGATTTCTTTTGCACAGAAATCAGAAGACTTTGAAGTGAAGGTAATTTGTGTATCAATGTATGTGTCACTATGTTCCTGTATTAGAAATACTATAATCATTATGTCTCAGACAACAAAGGATTATCATATATGCAGCATTCAGTACCCAGATTTGTTCTCTATACGAGGGCAATTTGGAAATAAACCTCTGTTTGGTCATCAATGACAGACATTGCAGATACAGAACTTGTATTATACACATTAGAAAACTACATTACATTACTTTTTGACATAATCGGCATTCAAATTGAGGCACTTGTCATAAGGTCTTACAAGTTTGAAATTCCTTAGTAGTAGTCGCTCGGCACCAAATCTGGGCTATGGGGGAGGTGATCAAAAACAACCCAATGGAACTGCTTCAAAAGTTCTTGGGTACGTCTAGCGGTGTGCGGGCGAGCATTATCGTGTTGGTTGTGTGGCCTTCACCACGGTATCTTTTAGGGCGGTTTACACTTCTACGGTTTCCTCATGACGATCACTTCAAGTACCTCGCACCAAACTGGTAGTTAAGTCTACAGATGACACTTTATAATACTTTTGAGTCTGCTAGGTAGGTATTGTTTGCAGTCCCGTACGACTGAAGACCACACCACAACCAAGGGGGGGCATAGCCCAGATTTGGCGCCGAGCGACTATTACTAAGGAATTTCAAACTTGTAAGACATTATGACAAGTGCCTCAACCTGAATGGCGATTGTATCGAAAGGAAATGTAATGCTGTAGTTTTCTAATGTGTATAATAAAAGTTCTGTATCTGCAAGTGTCTGTCATTGATAACCAAACGCAGGTTTATTTCTGAATTGCCCTCGTACATTTTATTGGCCTTCTCACTACCATCCCAATCATGTGATTCTTAATTTGGGAGTCAGGATACTTTGAGCACATTTGACCCCTGGGATTTTGCATTTTTATTCTTTTACTAAAGTAATTCAGACTGTGTAGGAGAAGAACAGGCAGAGTTGGGGGGGCGGAGTTAAGTGAGTCATCAGTTAGAGTCATTACATTTCCACAAATGGTAAGGCCAACCTCCCCTTGAATTCCATTGAACTTTACTTGGTGCCAATTTAGCATTGAATGTGAGTTGACTAGATTAATATCAAGCACAAAGGATCAAGCCATGGTGGCACAGTGGTTAGAATGCAGTACTGCAGGTTAACTCACTGCTCACTCCAGGAGTTCAATCCTGAGCGGCTCAAGGTTGACTCAGCCTTCCATCCTTCCGAGATCAGTAAAATGAGGACCCAGATTGTTGGGGGCAATATGCTGATTCTGTAAACCGCTTAGAGAGAGCTGTAAAGCACTGTGAAGCGGTATATAAGTCTAAGTGCTATTCTTATTGCTATCAAGATCACACATAAGTTCCAGTTCAGAAGATTTATTGCTCAAGTCCATACATAAGAACATAGGCAACTCACACTCAGAGCTAAATTGGCACCAAATAAGGGTCAACAGAATTCAAGAGGGATTGGGCTTAGACCATTTGTGGGAATGTAATGACTCTAGGCTCATAACTCTCTTAACCTCACCCCTCAGCATTGCCTGCTATTCTCCTATAGGCTGGTATAAACAGTATTTCCCTCTATCTACCTTGTTTTTGCCTTCTCAAATATGTGTGACAAGACTCAGCCTAAAGTGCTTCTATGAATAGATTCATACAAGACAGCTTAGTAATGACTAATCTCTCATTTGTTTAGCCACATTCTTTCTTCTTTCCTGTGGAGAAGAATAGTATTTAAAAAAGCTTTGTCTTACTACATTTTTCCAACTAGGCTAATGTGATGAACATGCAACATCACTTGGGCATTAAACTATCAAAGGATTATTTTTGTGCTTTCTGTTTCATATAATTTTCACTCTAAATTTAAAAGGCAAATATATTTTAGATGGCCCTTACACCAGGAGTTGAAGAAACAGCACTTTTGGTTCGCCAGATAGCTGACCACATATTATTAGCTTCTAAACAACATCCACAGGAGTGGCTAAACAAGTCATGGCTTTCTGTCCTGCTATCAGAAGTAAGTGATTTGGCTTCATTTTGTTTACAGGATACCATTATTTCTAGCATTAATGTCCTGCCTCTGAGAGACCATTTAGGATATGTAAATCCCAAGAAGCGTTAGTTTACCTCAGCATTTGTTTTGGATGGCAATCCCAGAGAAACTGGCTGATTTTCTTAGAATGACTAGGGATAGGGGAGTTGGTTAATAAAGAATAAAAATGCCCTGCTTTATGTGGAACAGCAACTCCTTGCTTCAGGTTCCCTAGGGAGCTGATTCACAGAGATAAATTGGAGATCAGGAATAAAAATATCTCCATGGGAGAATCAGTTCAAAAGCAACCGAACAAAACAACTAATAATGGCTGTACAGGGAAAAACATTTGAGGACGTTGAACAACATTTAACTGAAGCTCTGGTAGAGCTGGTTCAATACTATTGTGATAGCCAGTTAAGACCAAATCCAGCAAAAACTCATGTATGTACCTTCCCTCTTTGACATAAGCAGGCTGCTAGGAAGCTGCTATTACATGGAAAGGGACATTATTGAAGCATTGTTATAGCCCTAAGTATTTAGGGGTCGCTCTAGATAGGGTCTTAACATAAAAGCAGCACTGTACCAACGTTAAACTGAAGGTCAATGGACAAAATAACATCCTCATGAAAGGATTTGGAGAAATTAATGGGTTTCTATTTTGTGAGATGAATACAGCAGAAATTGGGGATTCAAAGGGGTGTTATATTTTGGAAATGAGTCCAAGCATCATCCCAAATTCGAGACTCTTATAGCAAACTAGTTACCTATAATTTCTCAGATGATAGATATTTCTGCAAACTTTGACTGTTGATCATCAGGAAACATCATTTATCCTATTCATTTATTCATCCAACCCTTTTTTTCCTACTGAATCTTGGCAGTAGATGATTGCAACGATAAGGTAATTTCATAACCAATCAATCCACTTTCATTTGGTCATAGACCAGCACTTAAAGCCAAAAAAATAAAAACCACAATTAGTTAAAATTAAAAAAAAGAGAAACACATAAAATTCTAAACTATTTCAGAAAAATTGGCTAACCATCCAAACTACAGTTAGCTGTGGTTAAACAAAATAACGACATATTTTCACTTGCCTGGATTCATTTATGGTGGAATGCCTAAACAAAATGTAAGTCTAATTCTAGTTCTATTTTTTCCTCTAGGCAGAGAAATGCTTGCTTACCTTTCCATGCATGAATCCACTAGTTGCTCAAGTCATGCTAAAGAAAAGTTCTTCGCTGGGATGGCTCCTGGCAGCATCTTTTGCTGAGCTTCAGGAACTTCTGCCTGAGGTGCCAGAAAAGGTTTTGAAGGTCAGTTGTCCAGGATATAAGCATGATGCGTACAATTCAGTTTTCAGTGTTTCTCAACCTTGACAATTTTAAGGCATGTGGACTTCAACTCCCAGAATTCCACAGCCAGCATTGCTGGCTGTGGAATTCTGGGAGTTGAAGTCCACATGCCTTAAAATTGTCAAGGTTGAGAAACACTGAGTTATGTTGTTGCTTTGATTATTGTTAAAGCAGGAAAGAAACCAAAATAGCTCCTGAGATTGAATTTGTCTGGATTTTTTTATTCGTCCTTAAGCATATTGGCTTATTATGCCACTACAATTACAAAAAAAACCTTTTGCATTAAATTAAAAACAAACATATACAGTATTGCAGTCGTTCCTAGTCCTTTGCAACCACATACAGAAAACGCTGCTTATCGAGAAAATTATAAATCAGCAATTCGCATGTGTTCTGATATTAATTCAAATTAACATGATACACAATATTTCTGTAGGGTTCCTGTAGGATGGTTTAGGACAGGGGTAGGCAACCTTGGCTCTTTTATGACTCGTGGACTTCAACTCCCAGAATTCCTGAGCCAGCATAGGAATTCAACTCCCAGGAATTCTGGGACTTCAACTCCCAGGAATTCATAGGACTTCAACTCCCAGGAATTCTGGGAGTTGAAGTCCACAAGTCATAAAAGAGCCAAGGTTGCCTACCCCTGGTTTAAGATATCCTAGGCCAGTGCTTTTCAACCTGTGGTAGATGTACCACTGATGGTACTTCAGCACCTGGCAGGTGGTATGCATACGACGGGTTGAAAACCGCTGTAAAAAAAAGTGTGAAAGTGTAGCAGGGGAATGAGTTAAAGTGGCGGCACTGCCGCACAGGCCTGTGAGAGTCAGCTGGAGCTGTGGTGTTGCGAGGGCTCCCACTGAGCACCCAGGATCGGTGCAGGGCTCCAGCTGATTGACACTTCTGGGAGGAGAGCGCAGCCTTGGGGAGGAAGAGTCAGCTGGAGCTGCACAGAAGAGAAAAGGAGGAGTGAGGGAGAGAGGAGAGGATATAAAAGGAGGCAGTTTTGGTGGAAAAGAGAGAGGAAAAGAAAGACAATGGGGAAAGAGAAGGGGACGGAGAAAGAGAGATAGAGAAGCGCGCAGCCTTGGGGAGAGCAGTCAGCTGGAGTTGCACTGAAGAGAAAAGGAGGAGGGGGGAGAGAGGAGAGGATATAAAAGGAGGAGGTTTTGGCGGGAGAGGGAGAGAAGTTTTTGTTTTATTGTTCTATTGTCTTATTTATGATAGTTATTGGCTTTATTATTGTTGTGCGATGCCCACTTGCAGATCTCGGAAGCTGTGTCCTATAGCTTCCGAAACGTTTTTGATGTATGGCAAGGTGTGCCATGTTGTTGGTTTTATACCTTGCTTCCTCCTTTCTCGCCCCACCTTATTGCACAGACATCTTGTGACAAATGATTGTGGGGACCCATTCTGCTTGAATTGTTCACCTTCATTCGTGAAATATATTATGGCATACAGCCTTCAAAAGGAGTACTTCTGATCTTTTCCAATTGTTAAAGCAGTTCCATCCTTACCCAAGTTTATAGGCTTGCTGTGCACATGCATGCACTACTACTTTGTTTTGCATTTTCCAGGTGATGAGAAGTATGTCTTTCAAACAATGTTCACAGCTCTGTTGTGCAACCTACCAAGGGATTGGCAGTATTCTGTAATGCTGTTCTTTTTCCTAAAAATTCTGAAGTGTTTTCTTAAAATGTTGCAGTTTGTCTAGGGACAGAGTGATCAACATAACGTTACCAGCATTTTTTTCCAGTCCATGAGCATTTCTCCCTTATTCCCAAAGCTATATTCTTCTTTAGGTGTTGATAACACTTTTGCACAGATTGGAGTTTCTGTAGTAGTTGTTACATACCCATTGAACATTCACACTAAAAAAGCTGCATGTGTTTTATTATTATGGACTCCGATGGATTTCTTATTTTTTCCAGACTTTTAGTGACATCACATCATTATACATCTTCAAGCCACTAACACAAAAAGAAATTACGCCTCTTCAAGGAAATATTAATTCTGCCACCTGCTCTCGTTCTCAACTTCCATTTCTTGAGGCTTTGTTCTCCAGATTTCAAGGACATAATTCCTTTACTGAGTATTCAGAAGAACAGATCAAAAACTGTTCCCCGGATATCGGCCAGAATGGATCTTGTGGCTCTCTGAAATCAACTGAAGAACATAACTTAGATCTACCTTCAATATCGTATGAAGGAGACACCTGTCCCTTTCAGGATAATGTAAGGGTAGAGAGGCAGCTTTATCTCCCATTTCTGAAAAAAGTGGAAACAGAAACAAGAATAAATGCATCGCATTTAACACTGAATAATATTGGAGGACCTTCCCATATCAACACTGAAACCACAGTGCCATATTTGCACTGTAACCAGGACTCTAGCCCTTATATTGAGAATTGCCCACTAAATAGGATTACTGTTTCAAAAGTGGGCACAGGCAAACAGCTAGATATCTCTGAGTTCTTGAAGAAGCCGATCTATCATGATGCTAAAAATGAACATCTGGGAAAAATTCAACCTCTTGCGCAACAGCTGAATTCTTTCCATGATTTCAAGCATTCTCCTCACTTCGTTTCTAGTAGAAATGATGTTCCGTTCCAGCAAAGCTCAGGCAATTTTTTAGAAATAGGAAGAAAAGCAAGCAGCAATCCTGAATCAGAGGAAAGATTTTGGGGTAACTCCCCATTCATACAAGCAATGGATTCTTCTCCCTGTGATTCGCACGTACGCAAAGCCATATCCAGTCCAGATAGGTTCATGAACTTGGATATTCAGTTTACTGGAGAATATAGGAGGGGGAAAGGACCTACCGGTAATTCATTATCAGATGAACAAAGACAACAAGACGTTTCAGGTAAGAGCACAAAGCAAAATGCTGCTATTTTCTAAATTTCAGAATACTAAGCGTTACCAGGGAGCCTTCAAATGTTGTCTTTGTTCTAATGAGACGTACCATTTAGGAAATATTTTTAAATTGTTCTTTTGGCATTCCCCCATTGAGGGCTCAATGGAGGGCTCAAAAAAGCATCAGCAAAAGATCAGCCAAACCACTGAATCCAACCATTTTTCTTCCTTCCCTACGGCAAGTGGCAGAGCTTCCCACTTGGGGAGCACTTCCTTTTGCATCTGAGAGCTGAACCATCCTGCTTCCTGAGAACAGGAATTATAGCACTCTTTTATTCTAGATCAGTGATACGGAAGTCTGCAGTTAACAGACCGTCGGTAGTCTGTAGAGGTCCACCAGTGGCTTCTCCACAGCCTTGTGCATACATTAGCCAGAATTTGCTTGTCAGCTCATTCCCTGATACTTTGCATTCACAACCGATCAACCTAGCCCAGGGGTAGGCAACCTTGGCTCTTTTATGACTCGTGGACTTCAACTCCCAGAATTCCTGAGCCAGCCATGCTGGCTCAGGAATTCTGGGAGTTGAAGTCCACGAGTCATAAAAGAGCCAAGGTTGCCTACCCCTGGGCTAGCCTCAAGGGCAGTTAAGAGTCCATGTGCACGGTTTCATGGTAGCTGCCCTTTTGCACCAGCACACACATGTTGACCTGTTTCACGTATGTGGAAGAGTGGCAGGTGTCCTTTTGTCCTATGAAAATTATTACTGTTTTGTTGCAAGCAAATCTGTGTTGAGAATTATTCTAATATTACATTACCTAGGAAACAAAATAATTCAGGCAATTAATACATACTTAATTTGAATTTAAATGTTTTTACTAACAACATGTTAAAAAGAGCTTAGAAATTAAGGGGATAGAAAGCATTGAGTAGCACAGCTAGAATTATTTTACTGAAAATATGCTCTTAAAGATGAAACATAAAGTGGGATTATTATTATTTAACCCAACGGCCATGCACCTGCAGAAAAAAATTAAGAATTTTGTTTTAGGTAAAAGCCTTCCTGTTACAAGAGACAGAACACATCTTGTCTTTTTATGTTCGTTATTCTAAAAGAAAATATTTCACTTCAGCATTTTTAGCTTTCCATTTTTTAAAAAATCTGGGTTTTTAGATCAGGATGAAAAAGAGCATTTTATTCCCCCCCTCCCAAACCTTCAACTATCTAAAACTTTGTTCATAATAATTTAGATATAGGGAGTTGCTATGACTTTTGTAAATCCAACATTATGGAAAGGGGGAAAAGATGGTGGTGGTCATGCATGTACACATGTCAAACAGAAGCAAAATGTTCGCCCCTGCACAAAATGGCAGCTACCATGTTTATACATGTATATCTTTTTTTTTATTGAAAAGTTTTATAACAGTTACAATATAAACCCCAAAACCAACCACCCCTAAACCCCCCCTCTCCCTCCCCCACTTCCCAGAGCTGGATACAGGGCTACAAATATAATAATGATAATCTAACTAACATTAACCAACTATATAAATAACCAAATCCATAATGCGCTTTAACTCCCTTTAGCATAAATATAAACAAATTAAAAATAAACATAATAAAAACATAAACAAATTAATATCCTAATTATTAAACAATACAATATCCAAATTATTAAACCATACTAATACTAAAAATAATAATATCATATAATTGAAACTAGTATATCTTGTACAAAAATTGGTCTACAGAAGGGTTCTTGGGACTTTTGCGGCCAAGGCTCCTTTGAAGTTGTGCAGCTAATAAGCTTGAATGATGAATGAATGAATGAATCAATCAATCAATCAATCACGGCATGATATAATTCAAGTGTTTTTAGGGTAACCCACTTCTTGATGGTATATTTGATCCAGTGCCATCTCTGTGGAATGCAGATAGGAGGGCCTATTTGTATTAGAATCTGATACTATCTTGCTTTGATTACAGCTTCCAATTTGCTGTTTCAAACATTGTCAGGTTGACTAAGGGAAGCTTGGGCTGAATAGAAAAAAGTTAATTGAATTATTTTGGGCAGCTCATATTGTCAAACCTTGGCGAGCTAAGACAATTGTTAAGAGAATTGTAAGCAATGCTATCTTCTATTCCACATGGAGTAAAGATGATATTCAAAAATCCATACTTCTACATACCTCTTTTTTAAAAATATTTTCTAGTGAAGTGGTGCTATTCTGTAGTTCTTAAAATGAGAAAGAATCATGAAACATTTTGAAGACTATTTTAATTAGGACAGAGGCCTTTATGGACAAGGCTTTACTATCAGATGCATGAAAGATTAAAAATGAATATAGAAAGAAAAAATAGTAGTACAAGGGGGAATGAAGTGAAAAATATTTAGACTGAATATTTTTGTTCAAGGTTAAAACAGGGACATGCATATTTTTCAGGGCAAGGAGCAATATTTCACTGTTGGATGGCAGGCTTGGAACCATTCCATGGAGTGAATGACTGATCAGATAAAAACTAACATTGGCTAAATTTAATTTAATTTCGTGAACTAAATAAAGTTACTTTGACAGTATTTCAAGAGTTCCTTATTTTAATCTGTACATTTATTAGTTTCATATTAGATTCAAAGTATGGAATGTTTCATTTGCTATTTGCATAAAATGGCAAAATAACAACTGAAATCGTGTTTTATTTTATTAAACAATTGAGAGATTAACCCATATTAAAATCACATTTAAAAAGATATACAAATGATTTTTACAGGTTTCCCTATAGGTTAAACTTCTTAAAAAACAAAGATTTGATCCAAGAGAAGATATAACGGTTAGAGTTGGGGTTATCTATAATGAATTTTCTAACAAATATTGAAGATTTTTTTTTCATTTATATCAGATTAAAAGGGAATATACAGTATATACACAGTGCTTTTTTTTCTAAAAAAAAAAAAAAGGTGCCGGAACTCACACATATCATACAACCCGCCTTGCCTACGCTACAAGGTTCCATCCAAAAAAGGTGCCGGAACAATGTTGTGATTGTTATCTGTGGCAGTTGTATCTTTCTTAGGCATGAGCATGCACTGGGAAAACAAGATGGGACAAATGTTGAAATATGCATCACAACGTCAACTCCTCCCCTTTTGTACTGGTTTCATCACACTACATGCATGTAAATGGGTAGTGCTTATGCTATGATGTCACAATAATGTGTTGTCATTTTGATAAAGACTCATCTTGCTGAGGATATCCTGTTCTTTGAATGTTCTTTCTGAGAAGGAAGGCAAGCATGAATCTAATAAACGTACAGAATTAAGAACTTTTGAAATAACATGTCAATTACACTTTAAAGAGTTGAGAATATACATTTTATATTATTAAGGGATAGACTATATGAACTAAATCTGTATAGTTATAAACTGCTTATTTGATAATGATTTATTCTTTTTTTTATTTTTTTTCTCTTTTTTTGGGCAGGTTCAGAATTTATGCAATTACCACAGCTTAAAAAAAGGCGTTTAACATTTGAAAAAGATCCTAGGAGGCATGACGGCCAAACACGTCTCAAGTTTTTTTAGAAGAAATGGAGGCTAACACTTTTAAGAATTTTGTTGTGTACAATACATAAAAACAAAGGTAGCAGGCTTAATCTTCTTTTATAGTAACTTGTTTACAATTTGTTTCAATCTTATATGTAATTATTTTTTTAAAAAATAAACATGTAGGGAATAGGATAAAAGTTAAGGGTTTATTAGAAAAATCGATGCTATTTATGACAATTACATTAAAATATTACAGTTTAATTATGCATAATTTATCTAATTCGTTTATATACACTATACATAAGAGAAATGTATTTGAAATTGCATACAGACTTTGGAAAAGTTTGGTCAGAGAGTCACCACAGTTGTCAGAATGTGACACATCAGCGCTTAGTAGTTTGCCTGTTCAGTTCTACATAGCAGTTGTTATCTCAGTAAATGATTAGTATCTGGTCAAGTGAGTCAACTGAGTAAAATCTCAAAACAAAAAAATCAGGCAGGATTATTAGGTATATTCTCTGCCTTGGTGAGATAAAAGGTTTCCCTGTCCTCTACTCTGAGTTAGATATAAATCAATGGAGTGCACAAATCCTGCCAGATCAGATTGATCAGGCAGATGCAATAGGAGACAGGCAGCCCTTCAAATAGCCAGGCCCTTTATAGGTATCACACCCAAAAGCAAACTGGCAACCAGTGCAGTTCGCAAAGAGAAGTGTTAAATGAGGATACCAAGGCATGCTATCATTGCTCATGCCACTTTCTGGACTAGCTGAAGCTGCCAGGTGGTTTTCAAGGATAGTCCGTGTAGAGTAGGGCTTTTCAACCAGTGGTACAGGTACCACCTGTGGTACATTGGCACCTGGCAGGTGGTACGCGACCATCCTAGAAAAGTGGTAGCAGGGGAGGGGAATGAACTGAACCGGTGGGAGCACCGCACAAGCCTGAGCGAGAGATGGCTGGAGCTGCAGGGCTGTCAGGGCTCAGCGGAAGCGCCAGGATCAGCGCCAGGCTCCAGCTGGAGCTCGGCACTGATCCTGGCACTTCCGCTGAGCCCAGAAGAAGCGCCGATCAGCTGGAATGTTGCAGCATCTCCAGGGTGGTCTTGTGATTTACATTCAGATGCTTGGCAAGTGATTCACATTTATGACGGTCACAGTGTCCCAGGGTCATGTGAAGTGACCAAAACCTGCTGCAATCACCCAGCAGACGGGGGGAATACAAACCAAACACCCCCCCACCCCACCCCCACTGCCAATCTCAACAGAAATGCTCACAACAATGAAAACCTCAGACAGGAGGAAGAGCGCCGCCGGGCGGGCGGGCAGGCAGGTGTCTTGCTCAGCACTTTTTTCAGTGCTATTGTAACTTTGAACAGTCACTAAGCGAATTGTTGTATGTTGAGGACTACCTGTACTTTATCACTTTTTTCCTTTTGGGGGGGTCATGTTTTTGACACCTTGCTAGGCGACTGGTGGTACTTGGATGTTGCCATATCCTAAAAGTGATACAATGGGTGAAAAGGTTGAAAAGCCTTGATGTAGAGCTCATTGCCGTAACCAGGCCATGAGATGACAGGGTATGAGTGATATCTGAACCTTCCACTTACCCATCCTTACCCCTATGAGGGTTCTTTCATCTCCAAGAACCGGGCATACCACAGCAGAGCAAATCTGCACAAAATTCTTTATTGCAATACACATCTTCCCCAACAAAGTGATCCCATGGGTCAGCTCCACCCTTCTACATTTTGCAAGGCGATGTTGCCACATAAAATATGTCTTTAGTACTCAGTCCTTTAATACTTATTCTTCTAATTCTCAAGTTGAAACTAAAGTTTCAAAGTCTTTTAATATTTTTCTTTTTCCAAACATTCTTGCACTAGTTGGGATGAGGTGTTATTTCAGTGTGATTCTTCCTCTTCTAGTTCCTACTAGGCCTCCACCAAGATAGGCTGCCCACCAAAGCTTGTGGTCCTGGCAATTGAATGAAAGTTCTGCTGTAACAGCTGCCAATCTTCGCTTTCTTGTCTGTAGGTCTTTTGCTTTCATCTTTCCTGCACCCCTCTTTCCATTCTTTCTTAGCATTTGCTTTTGTCTAAGCCAGTGATGGCGAACCTTTTAGAGACCGAGTGCCCAAAAACTGGCCCCACCCCTGCTCCACCCCCTACCCCGCCCCTGCTCCACCCCCACCCGCCTGCCCGCAGGGTCACTCACCGCCTCCAGGGCCCACCGCAGATCCCCCAGCATCGCCATGGCAGCCACACCCTCTGCCCGCGCCCTGCAGCATCAACTGTGCGCGATGGGGCGTGAGGGCAGAGTCTTGTCTACGCTGCCTGGCTGCCATGTCCTTGGCTGCACTGCTCCGCGTGGGCCACGCTCGAGGGCGACTCTCCTCCAGGGGGGCTGCTGGAGAGGAGTACGTTGTGGGGGGAGGCAAGGCTGGGGCAACAGCACATGTGCCCACAGAGAGGGCTCCGAGTGCTGCCTTTGGCACCCGTGCCATAGGTTCGCCACCACTGGTCTAAGCTCAAAAGCCTGGGTGAAGCTGCCTCTGGACATCAGCACATCCTTGAAAACACCAGGAGGTGGCTCAGTTAGCAAGGCAACTGGAGCACCAGCTTGAATGCCTGTTGAGTACAGTTCTGAGGGAATGGATGAATGATAGTGGGAAGGGGCGGGGAGTTTGCCTGCACGAGTACAGCTATGTTTGAAGAGAGCAGACATGCCACCAACTTCATTCCTTCATACATCTAATCTCTGAAGATGCAACTGGCACACCAAATGAAGCTGGGCAAAGGCCTCCTTAGCCATATCTGCCACCTGTTCATCACTTTCTGGGCATTCAGGAAGACACCCCCCCCCCAAAAAAATTGCATGTCTCCCTTGAATGGGGAAGTGCAACCCCATCCAAGGTCAGAACATCCCCAGACCCGAATCGCCCAAGCACCCTTAGCCAATTGGTTTGGGTATGACTGAGTCAGTTCCTCCCTATCCAATCCCACACATACTGGATCCCAAATTGGCAGATGACTTCCTCCAGCAGTTTCATGTAGATGTTCCAAAGGAGAAGAGAAAGAATAGAGCTCTGCAGGATCCCCCAATGGAGAGGCCTAGACTAGAGGATGATCATTCCCTGCCAACCAACACGGCTGGAACCAGCCCTGGAGAAAGGAAGACAACCGCGGTAAAATTGAGGTCACAGATTAAAGCCAGTCTTCCTCTTTTTTGTCATCTCCTTGTCGAAGTTGGCTGACCCTTCCTGTTTTTTTTTTAACTGGAATTGAAGATCTTCCCTATCCCCATTGTGTCTCCGGCTCATGCCCTGCAATCCATGGAGTTTGAAAACAGCCAGAACAGCATAGACGCTGCTCCAGGAGTGGGTCAACTTTGTGAGCATTTCTGCCATTTGTCTTGGGGCCCAATTTCCAGTCTTAGTTCAGATGATACACTAGAACACGATTTCAGTGAATTAAGCAGGCTTATGTATGGCGATCAGGGTGCTGCATGGTTTACGCTGTATGCCAAATCAAATGCAAACACGTCCAACGAAATGCCATATATGTAGATGGATTTTGTGAGCTACACTGGAAACAGCTATGGGAAAGCATAAATCTTGCTTCAGGAAAGCATTCTTGATGACATCACTGTCTTAGAAGTGCACTTATCTGTAGAGTTCACTGCATAGGGAATGTTTTAAAAAGTTTATAAAAAATTAAAAAGTTCTAAAAACATTTTATTATTAATAATGCTTGTACCCTGAAATCTAACAATTATCTATTTGTACAGGTTTTGCATTGCTCTTAAGAAGTGTTTTAAACTGCTGATCTCAAGTACGCGGTATTTCAAGCAAGTTTCTTGGGTTAATTTTACCTTTTTTTTCTTTCCACACCCTCTTTCTCTCATCTCTTGCCCTCTTTATAATTATCAGATTTTTTATATTGACTTCCTCTCAAGATACACATTGCAACTTTTTAAAAAGGCATCATCAGAGCCTTACATCTCAAATGTAAGAGTACTGTTGTGCAGTGCCGTGTTTTTTTTCATCCATGCAAATTAGTGCAAATGTGGCAAAAGGGGCGTTGTCTTACCTGAACGCCTTTTCTCAGTACGGAGATGGAGAAAAAGAGTGCTGAAAATCATAGGACAGCGTAAACCACCATCAATGTGGGCTGGTTGCCTAGCACCCAAAATGTGATCACAGGACCATAGGGAGGGGAGCCGTTGAAACTTTGAAACCAGCTTTTAAGAAGCTCTGGGTTGGTCCATTGTAACTTCAAATGGTCAGTAAACAACCTGTGGTAAGTCGAGGACTATCTATACGGACGTTTCTGTGGGCTGGATACAAGTGAATAACTCTTTGTGAGCTCTGCAAATTACTGACATTAGCATCTATATGGGCAGAATAGTAACTTCTCTTGGCAGGCTGTTAATTTTTGTCATGGATGTATTGGAGGTAGCTGAGACAGATGTGATCTTATTCTATTTTTCTAACACAGGTCAGATTCTTTGTATTTCTAACTCCCCCTCCCGTCCCCATTAAATGTGTTTCCGTGCCACAAAAAAATCCCAGTAATTTAAGATTTTTTTAAAGCTTTTAATATATTAATACAAACCAAAAAAGAACTTTCTTTTTAAAAGTAAACAGGGTGTATAAAAGTGCTTGGTAATCGAAAATCAAAGATACCTGACCCACCCAAAAAAAAAAAAAAAAAAAAGGTGAATTGTTCCAGTAATATTGCAAATGCTAGGAAAGCCTTGCTTGTAGATTGCCTATTTATAGTTATGTATTGTAGTGTTGTTATCGGTGATTATTTGCCAAGCAGGCACATTTTAAGCTTATAATCCTGTAGACCTGAAGAAGATATCTTGGAGAGCACAAGATTTCTCCCCTTCTGAAACTAATCGATTTTGTAACTTCAGCAGGAGTCAACACCAGCACAAAGTGAGGCATTTTGATGCAGATATCCAGGATAAATGGATGGTTCTTAGGCCTCTTTACACACACACTTTTAATGCATGTCCATATTCATCCTGTTCTACAGTATGTGAAGTGTTTTCTCTCCTGTACTGCAGCATCTTTTCGTCAATGAGAAAGGAATGGTTAAAACAAATAAAGGGGGGGGGAAGGGCAATGCTCCTTTCCTATCCTAAGGCTTGCAGACATCTGGCAGGTTTTTAAAGTTCTTTGGGGTCTGTGGCATTGGAATGTCCTGAATTAGCAGGCTTTTCCTGCAAGGTAACTATTTTATGGGAAAGCAGAGAGATAAAGATTAGATCTTCTGTGGTGAATATGCAGCCCCAAGGGCTGTCTCTACTAGAGGGTCAGGAGCCATGTGGTTGGTAGACTTGGCCAAAGATGGTGGGTCCTATTCTGGGAGTTGGTGCATCTTCTCTCACTCTTCCCTTTGTGATCTCAGTGGATCGGGTTCTTCAATCTCCCCTCCCTGCACCTTAATCTCACTTTACTCTCCTCCTCTTTGCAAACTGGCAGAAGGAGCAGCTTATCAATCCTTGACAGTTCCCAGTTCCCATTGAGCTGTGCACAACTCAAATGGGAAGATGATTTATGACATGGTTCCTCTTATACCTCTCAGCCATGTGCTTGCCCTCTATAAAATAGGGAGAGTAAGATACATATATAGAGATTCCTATACACTACTGTCCTTCCTAATCCACTGGAAAGCTGAATAGCAAGCTTATATTCCTGGGTAAAATTGGGGCATGGGCACTCAAGGGGCTATAGTAAATACCTCTCAATATGACATACATCTTCTTCATTTCAACCAACTGGAACAGAGAAGCACTTTTCTTTTAACAAACTGGGTATACTTCAACCAGTACAAAGTATTTTTAAGGGAGCCTCAATTTTAGAATGGAAATATGCCCGAAGTTCTATAATACTAACTAGGAGCTATAGCTCCCCTGTTGAATATATCACGCTTATTCAAAAATAACAAATGTGCGTAAAACTGCAGCCTTAAGTGGCCAAATTTGCCTGCTCAAACATGCTTGAAAATATCTCTGATTAGAAAACAGAAAGCTGTTAGTAAGAAGGTACCTGGGACGTGTTTCATTCAGGCACAACAGAAACGCATCATTGGTATTGTCCTTTTCTAAATGTAAACATCTCAAGAGGATTAAAGAAAGGATATTGAATCAATTACAAAAGGAAAAGCTTTTCCTTATAAAATGCTTTATATTAGCAAAAGATTTAACCATTTACTAAGACAGTCAGGCAGACTAATAAATATCTAAAGAAACTGTTTAAGCCCTACATAAAGAAATTGTTGGTTTGGAAAACAAGGAAGACCGCTGGGATTCTTCTTGTACTTGAGGACTTTCAGAAAACCTTCCCTGCAACATGGGGGGAAAAAAACAACATTTTATTAAAATGTGATCTCCTTCAAGATTCCATAAATTAGATTAGAGTTGCAAAATGTTAGTTATAAAAGTTACTTTACTCCATATAATTCCTATGTAAAGGAGAGCAACTCAGCAGAAAAATAGACACTCTATACCCGTGGTGGCGAACCTGTGGCACGCAGAGCCCTCTCTCTGGGCATGCACACTGTCGCCCCAGTCCTAGGCCTTCAGCTGGATTTTATAAAACCTTTTCGCTTTAGGCCTCCGCCGTGTGCAAAAAAAAAAAAAAAGGTCCAATCAATCAATCAATTTCAACTTCTCGCAGGAAAAAAAAAGATCTCGCAAAGTTGGAATTGATTGAACTTTTTAGTCCCACCCAGTCTGCCATTACCACCGCAGCCACGCCCACCCAATGGGCCACACCCACCCAATGGGCTATGCCCACCCGGCACCCGACGATACATAAGTGGGTTTTGGGTTGAAGTTTGGGCACTTGGTCTCTAAAAGGTTTGTCATCACTGCTCTACACTCTCTTGTTATTGACTTGATCTGATTGGGCAGGAGGATTAAGTTAACCCATTAGTGGATTATCCATCTCCAGTGCTGGAGAATACTTGATTTTCATCATCGTTATCTTCGGTCCCCAAGGACAGCTCTTTATTCCTGCTGGTGTTTTTAGGAAAAAATTAAAGGGATGTACCACACAAGTCCCCAAATTTGTGTAAATCAACTTCATAAATACAACGTATATATTAGAGTGGGAGAGATAGAGAGCACCATTTGACAAAGCCATGGACTTATGACCTACCTGCCTTCAGAGCAAGGAGCAGGACCTGGGCTCTCGAAATGGGTTGCTTCCAGCCGGAACGCCAACGAGCAAAGCATCTTTGCAAGCGTTCTGCATACAGTACTGCTGAAGCTCTGCAGCTGCCTGAGAGACCTGGATAAGAGAAAGCACAAGAAGATGACAGGCAACTGGGTTTTTTTTTAGAGGTTGGCATGAAAGTCCTGGTGGACCTATATGCCCAAAGAGTGAAGTAATTGGTATTATTTGAAGATTCAACAGCTATGATATGCTTCCTTTTCTGTATTAGTAGCTGGGCTGCTTCAGAATGGAAGATGGGAGACACCTTAAAGTAACTTAATACTGGCTAAGGAGTTCTAGTTGAACAATATAACTGATTACTTTAAAAAAAAAAGGACAGGCAGCAATTGTAAGGCATGCAGAACATCCTTTCTCTGTAGGCTGCTGAAACTTTTTCTTTAATTGCGGCAATGTAGGAATAAGTCTAATAAACAAAATTATGGAATTTAATAAATGAATGTCTGTATGTAAGTAGGCACAGGTAATCAATTACAGAAGCAGGGGGTGATCCTTTACAACAGAGGTCTTCAAAGTTGGCCCTTTTATGACTTGTGGACTTCAACTCCCAGAATTCCTCAGCCAGTGCCTGGCTGAGAAATTCTGGGAGTTGAAGTCTACAAGTTATAAAAGGGCTAAGTTTGAAGACCCCTGCTTTACAAGATCAGAAGAACTGGGTGGGGGGGGGCGAATAGTCCTAGAGAAAATCTATCAGTGTGGCTGCTGTCAACACAGACTTGATGACACATAATCAATCAATGCAGACACTGGGAAGTACAAAGTTTGGCTGCATATGCTCAGCACAAAGGGGACTATGACAATTCGCTGTGGCCAACTCGCCACAGCCAATTCATTAGGGACCACTTGTCACAGCGAACTTACCACAGCCAATTTGCAATGGGACAACTCGCTATGGCCAATTCAACACGGGACAACTTGCTGCGGGACAAGAATCACACTAATATCAAAGGAATGGTGGAACAGAATCATTAAAGGATGCAAAAGGAGGGACAGAATGAAATGTGAATGACAAAAATTAAAATAACTTTTATTTATTTTAAATAATTAAATTGAACTGATATATTGTCCCACAGCGAGTTGTCCCGTAGTGACTTGGTCGTAGCAAGTTGGTTGTAACAAGTTGCCCCATTCTGGCACAGAGAGGGCTCAAAATGGAACAGTCACCAACATTTGAAGCCACTACTTAATTTCCATAGGGATGTATTGGGGAAATTTGGGGAAATTTTTTCCTCCACAGTTCCCAGTGTAATTCAGCCATTTTGAAATTGATCTCCCCTCTGTCAACCAGTCCCCTTCTTGATCTATTCAGGTTTTGGATAATTATCCTGCCGACGGACTGTCATGAAGCATCATGAACCCCTCTATATAATTTCTTTCCAACACGTAGGTTGAAAAAAAAATAAGTAAAATACAGGCTTGGGCATCTGTTTGTTTTGGAATGAAAAAGCTTCAGCCTTTGAATGCTTAAAAATAAGAAAGAAGATGAACCCTGCTTTAAAGTCCAGATATTAAAAAAAATAATCAGAAACATACCAAGTAAACCTCTAGGAGACTCTTACACATCTGAGACACTACTACCCACTATGCCCTTCTGATATAATTATATTCATTATTTCACCTTTCCAGCAAGAAGGATTGTGACTCTGCTCTATGTTAGTCAGTTATGGCCTTACTTGAAGAGGTCTCAGTGCTGGTTTCATGAGTATTCAAATAAGAATAAATGTCACCAGAATCCAAACACAAGGAACTAACCTGGAAATGTCAACCCTAAGGACGACGCTTCATCTAGAGCCAGCCGTGGGAAATGACATGCTGGCATGAAAACGCTCTCACAGATTTACAAAGGGACTGTACCACATTTGGGGGGGGGGGGGGAAGAATATCTGAATCACACACCAGGTGAAACTCAAGACTCAGGTGAGATCACTAAATGTATCTCTAAAACACACAACACATTATATCCCTTTATGGCTGGAGGGTATGTTTGTTGGTTTGCAAAATAATATTTTTACTTTACTTTTACTCTAAAAAGGAATAATCCTAAATTATTTATTTACTTAGACAAAGTAAATAAAAACAGTCTAAAATGCAAACTCCACTTGGAACAGTCAAGGTGATGCTCTTCATCACAGATAAATGTTTATGTGTATGAAGGAGAGATGCATATAATAATAATAATAATAATAATAATAATAATAATAATAATAATAATAATAATAATAATAATAGTAGTAGTAGTAGTAGTAGTAAAGTTGGAAGGGACCTTGGAGGTCATCTAGTCCAACCCCCTGCTCAGGCAGGAAACCCTATACCATTTCGGACAAATGGCTGTCCAGTCTCTTCTTAAAAACTTCTTGTGTCCGTGTCTGTATTTCAAGTTTGCTCCACTCGAACTGATAACTACAACTGGTTAAAAAGACAGATTGTTGTTGTTGTTAATTGCGAAGTCGTGTCCGAGATAGGAGGAGACAAAACAGAAAGAACTCTCAATATAACTTCACATTTAATATATTTAATTTATAACATTTAACAATAAAATATTTAATATAAGTATTAGCTAGATGTTACTGCTTTGTTTGGTATGGAAAGCTTGAATCTATTGAGGCTTTTTTTTTTTTAACACAAAAGGCAATGTCTGCTATGGGGGGCTGGGGGACATCTTCCTTTGTTTGTCTATTATTTTTCAGAAACATAATTAGCATTCTGCCAAAGGCTAATTCAACAAAATCCCAGTGCTGCTTCTGTACAATTCCCATTCATTTCAGTAGGGAGTGCACAAACAAAATTCTGTATGATCAAATATATTTATTACTGATAAATTGTCTGAAAATTTCCTGGATGCTATTTCAAAGTTAAATGGTTATACAAGGCTGATCATTCAACGAACACAACACAAACAAAATAAGCAGATGTTTATCAGGGAAACCAACAGACACCTAGTTGAAGTTCTGTCATTTCCATGAGATACCGTCATGTCAAAATCTAGAAGGGAAATGATAATATAAAGGAGGGTATTTCAAGTGGAGAAGGAAAAAGCAATTTTGTTTAAACATGAGCTACATACTCTACTAAGATAAAATATCTCCACATTGCAATTAAGTTTGGGGGAGGGGGGAATCCCTGTGGATCTATGTCTAAAAATGCAATATAAAGAGTTTGATAAAGATTTTCTAATTCAGCTTTGATTCTTCCCACTTTTAAAAGGAAGGCTTTAGGTTTGTTCAGTAATCTGGGTTCAAAGGGAAAAATATAATTTAGAATATAAGTGCAAAGAGTATCTGCTGGCATCTCCTTCAGCCAAAGGTGTCTTTTTTTGCATGTTCAAAAACAACCAGGGACACCTTCATAGGTTTTTGAAAATAAATATGATGGGTGGGACTATACAATAGAACCCTGCTCCTTTTATGTACATGCAACAAACATGAAAAAGGAATGGGGCTTCAACTATGCAGTTGTACCTGCTATAATTATGTATTTAACTCTTCCCCCACACACACACACCAATTGCTCTTGAGCACCACCACATATTCCAAATCATCTTTTTCCCTTTCAGTTCAGTCACTGGAAAACCCAAGAAAGGAGCCATCAATTCAAAATAGTTCCCATTCCCCCTCCAAACGAACAAGGCTCTCACACAGACACTGATCTCAAAAATATATACAGTTCTTGATCTAGCTACAAGGTCATCCAGGTACAGGGCAGGATATCTGGATGACCTTTTAGTGAGATCAAGAATGTGCAGTTATTTCATGACCAAAGACCAAAACAAACATGTTGGAAAACAGAAAAACTCATTGTGAATAATTGAATTGTAGTAAGCAATTGCAATTACAATAAAAAGTAAAACAGTGACTAAAACTGCCAACAGTTGATATCTGATAGCAAGGGCAATTGCATTAAATCAGTTTTGGAGATAACTGGCGACTTATCAGCTAAAATATCAGCCTGGGCGTCCTCCTGGATGCTCGGCTGTCTTTAGACGATCATGTGACG